TATACGTAAAAAAAAACATGATATGAGACTAAATTTTGAGCTATCTTTTTGTTCGGACCAAATGGCTCTGTTATCTCCCTTTATCTGAACCTCAACAGAAGCACTCAATTTTATTTAAATTTTCTGATATATTTCTTATATAAAAACATAATAAATATATGTTTTATTTTAGAAATTTATTTACATTTTAATGTTTTATAACATTAACGGATTTTCGAATACGGAAATAATTTCTGTCATCATCTATTAAAATCAATTTCATTGCAATCAGTTTTTCATTTTGATGTTAAATTAATGAAAACAACCACACGAACGGTATAACCTTAATTTGTTATCCTTATAGTCAGCAAAATATAAAAGTTTCTTATTTAAATTTAGTTTTTTTTTTTTAGATATGTCGTTGAACTGGTAACGAAATCGGAAATAAATTCTTTTCATTTTAATATTGAAACAGAAACTATTAACATTTATACTGAACCACCTAGGCTATGTACACAATTCGAATTTTAAAAAAAAAAACGTAAAAATTGAAATATTCAGTTAATGTGATTTTTCAGGATTTAAAATCGATAATAAACATTTCAATTTCGATATAGATTTCTATATTTTGATTAAATAAAAAATCAATATAAGCTCATAAAAAAATTCGCTTAGTTAAGCCATACCAAACGAGAAGCAATAGAAATTTTAGATTTTTCTAAAAAATAAAAATAATACACAAAAAATGTTTAGTGAGGAAAAATTTTAGAAACTGTATAATAAAATTGAATGATGTAAAGCGAGTTTTATAAAAATATAAAGTACTTTTAAATAATTTTTTTTTCTTACTTTAGAACTATATCTAATATATGTGAGAGAGAAAACTTAAATTTCATATTATCTTTACAATAAATTTCACAAAAATTTATTAAACAGAATTTTAATGGTGCTTTTTGTAAAAGAAGTTTTAGACCAAACGAATATAAAACATGATTTGTTTAATTTGTTGATATTATTTTATTTTCGAAAACATTGAATAAAATTTTTTAAATATATAAAAGAATTTCTTTTTCGTTTATAATATTAAATTTTTCCATTATTGCGAAATTCTTTTTTGTATCTGTTGCATTAAGATTTTTAAAAAAACTATCCCTGCAAAATGCAAACGAATTCCAATTAGATTTTACTTGAACGGATAATTATTTAATTAAATGAATCAATTACTTTATATAAATTAAAAAAATCGTATGAAACTGAAATTAGAGTAGTTTCTTTTTATTAAAGTATCAAACATTATTAATTTCTATTCCATTTCTCTATGATTTTATGCAAATTTCATTGCAAATTTGCAAGCTGTGGGAACCCACAAAGTCTTTTTGATCGACGATATTACTTCATATAGTCATATACTGAACAAAAAATATAATTCTTATTAGTAACATATAATTTAATATTATTGTTATTCATGATTGTTAATTACTAAATTACATAAAATGGAATCTTTTGTAACAGAACAAAGTTTAAAAAAAATTAATTATAAAGTAATTGATTGATTAATTATTGCGAGGCATCAACCCATAGTGAACTACGTAACAGACCCTAATTATGTGTGGTTTAATCCACCGTGGTGTCGACTAACATAGGCGAATGATGGGAAACGACGCCCAATGATAAATTATAAGAATCTGAACAGAGTTCGAATTTCGATCCTCCATAGTAATAGATAGATTAACACTTGCCGCACAGCCACGTGGACTACAATTATAAAACACTAATTCCACCAGTAATGAAACAAGTTTTAAAAAGATCTCATCTAACTTATATGGAAAAACTGACGTGTCATGGAATTTAATTATTCAAATAACTTTCTTCTACACTTAAGTAAGATTAATCATTAAATTTTGTTCTATAAATTAGCATTCCATTAACTTATAAGACAATATAAAACTTCAAAAATTCTTTTGATTTAATTTGCAAATTTTTTAAAAACAACGTAACATCGAGTTTCGGAATTTTGAAATTAATCTTAGGCGATCTTCATCTCTCACCTCTCTTGTAATCAACACATTCGTGAATTATAATTTGACATGTTACAATCATGCGACATGCCGTGTGTATTAAAGAAAAATGGTAAGAAAGCGTGTAGCGGCTGTAAAAAAAAAAATGTTTATTTTAATACAAATTGTTTGTCAATAATTGTATAGACTTGTTCCACACAAAATAATTTCATATGTGTCGTAAATGTCAAGAAAACTGACGATTAGTTTAAAAAATTATAAAATGTAATTTGAAATTAAATTTTTTGATAAATATAGTTAAATTATATTATTTAAATCCAAAATATATTTTCATTTTTAATCAAAAACTAAACTATAATTGGGTGACATTTTTAATGGGATTTCATTTTTAAATAAAGCATTAAAAATTAAAACACATTTTAAATCTGATCTGATAAAACAAAAAAAACTGATAAATTTATTCTTAATTTTTATAAAATACCACAAATTATTATCATAATAAATAATAATAATAATAATAATAACATATTAAAAATTTTACGCCAAAATTTGGTTAATTTTTTAAATTCCGTTTTGTTATGCGATAATAATTGTATAATTTATCATTATTCTTTAAGATAAAGAAAAAAAAAAGAACAATTTAAATAATGTATAAAAACGCTTAAAAGATAATTTGTATTTCTAAAAAAAACTCTCTTACATTTTTTATTTACAAAGTATTTAAATTTACTAAATTATTAGTTTAAAACTTTATTTTTTCTTTCTTATCAGTAGATGGCGCATTGAAAAAAAATTGAAGATTCTAAGATTTATTTAACCCATTTGTAAAAGTGCACATTATTATTTTTTTTTTTTAACAGAATAAGTATAAAATGGAAAAAGAAAAATTCCCTATTGCATAAGAATGCTTCCAAATACAATTAACTCCTACAAATAACATTTAATTTAGATATATATTGTAAAAAGCACGAAAAACAATTGATGTTTCCCTAGCCATTGGTTTAGAGGCGATAACCGCTGATATATTTTTCTAAGAGAATCGTAAAAGGAATACTGAGACGGCCGCATTTATTGATTTTTTAGTTGTGGAGCGAACCACTCTGCTGGTAATATAGGAAGAACTAGACATGTATGCAAATCTATGGAGGGAGGGAAGCGTAGTCGTCTTTGACTCAACTGAAATACTATATTTTCTACCAATTAAAATTTACTAGCAACGACAATAAATTCTTTTAACAATCGATAAATAATAAAATTTAAAAAGTTCGGTCTGTTGTCGTTACCTAAACGCAATTTACTTTTATATTAAATAATTATTCGCTTAATTTTTATAATATTAAGTGCCATAAAATTGAAAGGAGTCTATTGAAGATTCTGTTTCGAATTATCGACAATGAAATTATTTATATCATTTCTTTAATTAAATAATAATTTTTAAAAAATAATGTTAAAAAAAATGAGTTTGCAACGTGATATAAATATTATTTTTCAAAAAAATTTTTGTAATTATTTTTAAAATAATATAATGAAATGGAACAAATAGAGAGAAACAATTCAAAGAGGGAAATTCAATTTCAAAATTACAGCGAACATTTTGTTTTATTTCTTCAATATTAAGTTTTTGAAATGCATCTAAATGCAAGCTTTAAAAACTCTTTAACGATTGGATAGTTATGATTTAACAAATCTCAACTTTATTAATATATCTAGTGAATTTTAATTAAGAACAATATAATAATTAAAAACAAAAAATTAAAATTAGCATTTTAAGTATAGCAAAGTTTAATAAGGAACATATTATTTAATAATTATTAAACTTAATAACTTAACTTAGCCATTGGCTTAACTAATCAGTTACGTGATGTCAACACTCGCTTTTAGCTCGATGCAATAATCAAGTAAATAAAAAAATAAAAAATAAAACTGTGTGTGATAGATTTCACTTTTTAACTTTCCCCCCTCCCATCTAGTTTTCTCGACGAGCGAATGCAGATTACAATACACATCGCAAGAAAGAATCGATCCGAACCGAAGAGGGGAAAAAATTTCGGATACTAAAGTAATTTTTTATTCACCAATTTCAATTTTAAATATTATTTTAATTTTTCATTACAGATAATAACAATTTAACCCATTTACATTTAAAGTTTACAACGCATTCGATCATTCATAATGAAATTTTAAATATACATGTTCACGTGACTGAAATTTCTCGCTTTGAAAAACAGCGAGACAGTGGATTAAATAATCGATATGACAAACTTTAAAAATTTATAAATCAACTAATCATTCGATTACTAACCTTCTTGTGCGTTAATTAATATCTAAAAGTTCTTTTTTTTTTATGTACTTGTAAGTATATATATATATATGTATTAGTGAAAATCTTAATTAAATAATCAATGAAAAAAACAAGGTCTTGTTGAATTCATAACACTAGTTAATTGTTATAGTTAATTTTTTAACGTAATCAATACTCATATTATATGGTAGTATGTAAAGCTCTCTTCAATTAATCCGTTTATCTGAAGTCAAATGGAGAGAAATGAGAAGAAGGGAGAACCGTGAATCGATTTTCCGAGTCTCTTTTCAGAACATATTTTCTCTTAACGTAACGCAATCAATATTTTCAGACACGAATACGAAAAGAGACAATGTGAAAGATGTTATAATAAAATTTATAAATTTTGTTACGATAAATCTGATTAATTATACACCATGTTACGTTAACTATTTTAAATATTACAACCAACCAAAACAGGAGAAAAATTTTTTTCACACTTCACTTATTTTATCTTAATAATGTATCCATTCTCGCTTTCACATTCTCCATTAATGTCATTTTAAAAATTTAAAACTTTTTTAAAGCTTTATTTTGAATATGTTAGCAAATTATATACAAAAATAACTAGTTTAATATATATGCAATTCAATATCAGAACGGGACTTTATCACGGGTTGATTAAAAAAAAAATTAAATTAATAAAAGCTCGAATCACGTACCAATTAAATCACACAGGAATATCCATGTGAGATGTTTTGTATTTTTTTAATCATTATATCCTATATATGAATTAATTGTCTCGTGCATACGAACGAGTGTCAATTACTACACGTAATACAGACAACACCCAGACTGCCATTGTTCCTCGGAAAGATAACACTTATTAAATTACATTTATAATCTTTTTAAAATGTTAAAATTAAGAAATACAGAATTTCATACCTTAAGACGAGGTCAACTTACCATTTCTTAGCACCTTCTCGTCCCACCAGACGCAAACAGTGACAACGTCTCCCTAGAAGGGTTTTGAATGAAGTTCCATTGTGTTCGCAATGATTTGTGGGAGAATGCATTGACGGTCCACAGACGTCAGTAGATGGCGCATTGAAAAAAAATTGAAGATTCTAAGATTTATTTAACCCATTTGTAAAAGTGCACATTATTATTTTTTTTTTAACAGAATAAGTATAAAATGGAAAAAGAAAAATTCCCTATTGCATAAGAATGCTTCCAAATACAATTAACTCCTACAAATAACATTTAATTTAGATATATATTGTAAAAAGCACGAAAAACAATTGATGTTTCCCTAGCCATTGGTTTAGAGGCGATAACCGCTGATATATTTTTCTAAGAGAATCGTAAAAGGAATACTGAGACGGCCGCATTTATTGATTTTTTAGTTGTGGAGCGAACCACTCTGCTGGTAATATAGGAAGAACTAGACATGTATGCAAATCTATGGAGGGAGGGAAGCGTAGTCGTCTTTGACTCAACTGAAATACTATATTTTCTACCAATTAAAATTTACTAGCAACGACAATAAATTCTTTTAACAATCGATAAATAATAAAATTTAAAAAGTTCGGTCTGTTGTCGTTACCTAAACGCAATTTACTTTTATATTAAATAATTATTCGCTTAATTTTTATAATATTAAGTGCCATAAAATTGAAAGGAGTCTANATATATTACATTATCGGAACAATTTAATAAAGAATTACATTGGTTATTATCAAAATACAATAAAACATTTGTTAACGTTGACAATAACATCGAATGACAAACAAAAATTCTTATTTATATAATACTAATTTATTGTTATGTTGTTGAATTTCTGTAAAATGAAACATTTAAAGATTTATTACTTCCTGAATTTGATTTTTCTAATGCTAGAGTGTACTTTGACCGAATATCGTATGTCATTGTTGTATTAAAACTAAGGACTTAATTTAATGCGTTCTAATAATATCCAAGAAATACTTTACGTGTTTTTTTCCTATTTAGTTTTAATTACGAGCTATTACTAGTTTCATTAGTTAGATTGCTCTTAAATTTTATTTTATTATTATTTTTTAATTTAAGAGATAATTTTCTTATAACATGCCGTTGGAAAAAACATTTCAGCATTCTTTTTGTTTTCATTTGTCTTATCTATAAATAGCATGGCTTCAGAAAGCCACTGAACTACTTTTCGTATTACGTGATGAATGAATTCCTAAAGAACAAGAATACAAATTAAAATTTTTATGGCTTGTTTGATGAATATGCATAACATAATCTGTAATTTGACACTACGTTCTTTTTATTTTTATTATTCTTTTATGTAAGTTTCGATTTGTGCAGTTAACACGAGATAATAGTCACGGACAATAAACAACAAACGGTATTTGTAACTTTCATCCTTCAAGTCATGCCCAGGAACAGTTTGTAGAATGACCGGATGTTTCTACTGTTCACATGATAACAATCCTGTTTTTCTTTATTCGTGGAAAAATAATAGTAGAACTTTGAACTTGTTTTATTTACGATATTTATTTCACGTTAGCTATTATACTGTAATTAATCAGAGTATGATTAATTAAATTATTAACATAATGTTTCTAAAACCTGTAATGTTCACTGTTATAAATATCTTCTAAATTATATTACAAATGATAAAGTATATTTTTCATCGTTAATTTATTCAATTTTAAGATTATACACTGTACATAATTTGTATATATACAGTTAAATATAAAAGTTATAGTCTACATAATTTTCATATGTAATTTGCGTATATATAACCTTTTATATATATATAGGCTATAGTTTCTATGTTTGCGTTAATACTTAGAAAAGCTATAGATAACTTATATAACTAAACATGAAACTGCACTAATATTTATTATAATTTTGTTTTTTGTTCAGCATTCTGCATTACAAGTTCTGTTTCAAGTTGACTAAAAATAAACATTTTCTAATTAAATCGCAATTTTACTAATCGGATTTTAAAAAAATAATAATAATCAGTCAGACAACGGATGTCACTAACTATCCAAAAATGTTTCACAGTATATAATTCTAAATTAGAAATGATGATTTATCTTATCAAGATTTGATAACTTTTAATCTTTAACACATAAACTGATTATTAATAGTTTTCAATTTTCGGTTCGATTTTAAAAGCACGATTAAAGAAAAAAGAAGGAATTCAATCTAGAAAAAAGTTAACCTATTTCCAAAATGTCTTTTAGCTAAGGTATTTTTCACCTGAGTAATAGACTATGCCTACAGGAAAAATGGATAGAAAACATACATAGTTCGTATTTTATTGTGAAATCATATTGGAATAACTAATCAAATATGATTGCATTAATCATCTCTGGATTTACTATCAAATAAAATATTTTAAAATATATTTAATTAAAATAATTAGCTGCTTAACTGAAAGAGAGTATGATTTACAGATGTAAGTCCATAAGTCCGTGCATACGAGGGTTGGGTGCTTAACCATCTCATTTGGGAAGAATTAGAAAATTAAAATTAAACAGTATATTGTATATAATTTATATTTATTTTGTACTCGTTAAGCTCCTCTTTAGTCTACAGTATTGTGTTGTGCTACATATCTATATTGTAAAAATTAATAAACTATGTTATGAAAAAATAATTTCTTTCTTTTTTAAACCGCACCCTTTTAAAAATTCTGTGCATCGACCTGGTTTGTAAATAAATAAACAAATCTATTAACGATAAAATACCTTAGCAATTTTCAAAATGGTATTTTTCATATAAAGATTTTCTTATACCAGTCTGTTAAAATAGACCTATTAGTAAATTAGCAATAACTAAATATACTTCTGATCTATTGAACCCATTTTATTGATAAAATCTCATAGTTTTCATCATAGAAATTCAAAATCAATCTGCGTCATTTATTTCATAACTTATCAAAAATTATCAAAAAAAAATGTAGTCATTATTTCTTAGATTACGAAATTCTCAGTGGTTAGTTTCAATTGTAATTAAAAAAATTTTTCTCTATATTTTCCGAATGATGCAATTTTCATTGCTAGATTTTTAATGATAAATTAGTTGTTTATTATATGAAATCGGCATTATTATGTATGCACTTATAATTATTTTCAAATAAATCAAATCAAAGTATTCCTTTTGTTTTAGATTAGCCGAGCAAGCACAAAGAATGTTGGAAAGAGGTTCCATATTCGAAAATATGAATTTGGGAGAAAAAAGAGCTACTTCTCTCATCCGTCGATATGGAGAATTGTATTCCCAGTCAAGAATCGACACGTTAGATAGACTTGAATGTCTTACAGAATTTCAAGAAGCAGAGGAATTGAAATCTAAATTAATGTTCTCTATTATTGTAGTAGGTTTTAGATATTTTTGCTATTAAACAATAGAAATTATTTCCAAAATATAATGATATTTTATTGTGCTAGATCTGGTTAGCCTGGTATGGGCGAATATCTGATACGATTGAATCGTTTCTAGCTCATTAGTCAAAAATAAAAAATAAATGAAAAATAAGTAGAAATAAAATGATAGGCACACAAAAAAAGCTAAATTATTTTGATAGGAAAATAGCAGATCATTAAATTAGAATCTAAATACTTAAAATAATTAATTTTTTTTTGGTTTATATTTATCCCTTGATAACTTATGTTTGTTTATTCTATATGTTTTTTCACACTTTGATGACCTATTTTGTATTGTTTTAGAATTATATTTTATCTTAAATGCAACTGAAAAGTATTTTATGAGAGATTTTAAAATTATATAGTTTTCAAAACAATTAAGATAGGCTATTCCATAATTGCATGTGTATAAGTCAGTGACCGCCAATCTCGGCTTACAGTATAATGTCAATGCGCTTCGCTTATCTGCCAGATGCCCAATGTTTATGTTGTAAGTTTTAAACTTGGGAATAACGCCAAGTCTGTTTTTCTCTTTTAACAGAAAATATTTGACGTTTAGTTTATAAGAATAGATCATTTGCCCGAATACTTAGTCCCCAACAAAGAGTCATTTACCTGGCATATATGCAAAATCCATTAATAGAATTGCAACTTGTTGATACTTAAATTCAAACAAATTGAATATTATAACAAATCTACTGACTATCACACAAAATATTTCATAGTTGATGTGTAGATTTTTAAAAATATCCTTAGAGTTTTTGTAAATCAGTGCAACAGATTTTAATTCTAATCTTAAAATTGTAATATCTCCTTTACAAAAACTAAAAAGTTTTTATCTACTGTTAAAATTGATTACATGATAACATAAGTATATGGAGAAATGACGACTTACATCATTTTTCAACAGAAAAGGATGACAGAATCAAATGTATTAATGGTCAATAGAGAATTTATTTAAAGTTTCAAATAATCCAAAATTTCTGGCATTCTATTACAAAGCTTTTAATTGCATTGCGCAATGAAGATAAACACTATCATTATTGAATAAAAATATAAGTACTGTATACATTTATTCTATATTATTTATTTATTTATTTATTCTTATTATGTTTATGTTACAATATATGTATGAAGCGTGCACAATGCCATAACGTTGTAAATGCCATTTTTCTCTAAATACGTTTTATTGAAGAATGGAATTAAAAATGCAATGTTTTCTGCCACAAAAGAATATTGTGGAGATATTGGTACTGTAAGTGGCTATATTTTGAAGATGAATTTATATGAAGATATAACACGAGTGCAAGTCACGTGACTTTTTGATGCTTAAAACGTTATGACTTATATTTACATCATTTTGATATCGCAGAGAATTTGTAACCTAGAGAGTTTTTTACCATTTTATTGTAAAATTGAAATGAATTCATTCATTAGAAATAGTGTTTTTTACCTTTCCTGAAAAGTTTCTTTTTTGGCATTTACAACATTATGGCATTGCACGCTTCATATATTCATATATAGACTATATATAATATACTTTTTCGTTTCTGACAAGGAGTGCTCATAAGATGGAAAAAGTTATCTTATGGACTCTCCTAGTACCTAGTGTGGGTTCGTTCAAGTTTACATTGAGAGCGGGAGTGGGTGGTAAGGAATGGGTCCGACTTATCTTGGACTGATCACCCCGAAAACTTCTGGGATTGCTGGCCCGGACTCGATTCCGGGTCATAGGCTGGAGTCTTAATCTCTTCGCCCAACTTCTGGATTATATCTGATTATTGCTGAAACAATATAGATCTATATAAATATAATTCATAATAATAGTGTTGATTCGAAATTGAGCAATAATACTTCCATGTTTCATACAGTTTAAATTAAAAATAACTTATAATAGGATTATGAAAATTTTCGATAATAGATTTTACGAGTATATAGTGTATTTAACTACATGTTTATTAATTAAAAAAATAACTATTAATGCAGTTAATATTATGATTATTAAAATATTTAAATAGAATAACCACAAATAAATTTTTATTGAAATTTGTTAATTTTCCAGTTAGCTTTTCATTCCGTTCAAAATAAACTAGGAGAAATTTTTATAAGGCTGCGAGAAATCTTTCAAATTGATGATTCGACTTCAGTTTATGTTAAAGATTTAGAAAATTCTGTTCATTCTTATCTAAGAAGCAGAATAGATAAATTCGATTTAACTGACTGCATCCAGGTGAGAAAAGTTTTCATTTGTTAAAAGTATTTTGATCTATCCTCTTCCTATTATTGATTAAATAAGTCTTAATCAAATGTTACATTTTTTTCTATTATTTATTTATTTATTCTTATTATGTTTATGTTACAATATATGTATGAAGCGTGCACAATGCCATAACGTTGTAAATGCCATTTTTCTCTAAATACGTTTTATTGAAGAATGGAATTAAAAATGCAATGTTTTCTGCCACAAAAGAATATTGTGGAGATATTGGTACTGTAAGTGGCTATATTTTGAAGATGAATTTATATGAAGATATAACACGAGTGCAAGTCACGTGACTTTTTGATGCTTAAAACGTTATGACTTATATTTACATCATTTTGATATCGCAGAGAATTTGTAACCTAGAGAGTTTTTTACCATTTTATTGTAAAATTGAAATGAATTCATTCATTAGAAATAGTGTTTTTTACCTTTCCTGAAAAGTTTCTTTTTTGGCATTTACAACATTATGGCATTGCACGCTTCATATATTCATATATAGACTATATATAATATACTTTTTCGTTTCTGACAAGGAGTGCTCATAAGATGGAAAAAGTTATCTTATGGACTCTCCTAGTACCTAGTGTGGGTTCGTTCAAGTTTACATTGAGAGCGGGAGTGGGTGGTAAGGAATGGGTCCGACTTATCTGATCACCCCGAAAACTTCTGGGATTGCTGGCCCGGACTCGATTCCGGGTCATAGGCTGGAGTCTTAATCTCTTCGCCCAACTTCTGGATTATATCTGATTATTGCTGAAACAATATAGATCTATATAAATATAATTCATAATAATAGTGTTGATTCGAAATTGAGCAATAATACTTCCATGTTTCATACAGTTTAAATTAAAAATAACTTATAATAGGATTATGAAAATTTTCGATAATAGATTTTACGAGTATATAGTGTATTTAACTACATGTTTATTTAAAAAAAAATAACTATTAATGCAGTTAATATTATGATTATTAAAATATTTAAATAGGATAACCACAAATAAATTTTTATTGAAATTTGTTAATTTTCCAGTTAGCTTTTCATTCCGTTCAAAATAAACTAGGAGAAATTTTTATAAGACTGCGAGAAATCTTTCAAATTGATGATTCGACTTCAGTTTATGTTAAAGATTTAGAAAATTCTGTTCATTCTTATCTAAGAAGCAGAATAGATAAATTCGATTTAACTGACTGCATCCAGGTGAGAAAAGTTTTCATTTGTTAAAAGTATTTTGATCTATCCTCTTCCTATTATTGATTAAATAAGTCTTAATCAAATGTTACATTTTTTTNCTATTATTGTAGTAGGTTTTAGATATTTTTGCTATTAAACAATAGAAATTATTTCCAAAATATAATGATATTTTATTGTGCTAGATTTGGTTAGCCTGGTATGGGCGAATATCTGATACGATTGAATCGTTTCTAGCTCATTAGTCAAAAATAAAAAATAAATGAAAAATAAGTAGAAATAAAATGATAGGCACACAAAAAAAGCTAAATTATTTTGATAGGAAAATAGCAGATCATTAAATTAGAATCTAAATACTTAAAATAATTAATTTTTTTTTGGTTTATATTTATCCCTTGATAACTTATGTTTGTTTATTCTATATGTTTTTTCACACTTTGATGACCTATTTTGTATTGTTTTAGAATTATATTTTATCTTAAATGCAACTGAAAAGTATTTTATGAAAGATTTTAAAATTATATAGTTTTCAAAACAATTAAGATAGGCTATTCCATAATTGCATGTGTATAAGTCAGTGACCGCCAATCTCGGCTTACAGTATAATGTCAATGCGCTTCGCTTATCTGCCAGATGCCCAATGTTTATGTTGTAAGTTTTAAACTTGGGAATAACGCCAAGTCTGTTTTTCTCTTTTAACAGAAAATATTTGACGTTTAGTTTATAAGAATAGATCATTTGCCCGAATACTTAGTCCCCAACAAAGAGTCATTTACCTGGCATATATGCAAAATCCATTAATAGAATTGCAACTTGTTGATACTTAAATTCAAACAAATTGAATATTATAACAAATCTACTGACTATCACACAAAATATTTCATAGTTGATGTGTAGATTTTTAAAAATATCCTTAGAGTTTTTGTAAATCAGTGCAACAGATTTTAATTCTAATCTTAAAATTGTAATATCTCCTTTACAAAAACTAAAAAGTTTTTATCTACTGTTAAAATTGATTACATGATAACATAAGTATATGGAGAAATGACGACTTACATCATTTTTCAACAGAAAAGGATGACAGAATCAAATGTATTAATGGTCAATAGAGAATTTATTTAAAGTTTCAAATAATCCAAAATTTCTGGCATTCTATTACAAAGCTTTTAATTGCATTGCGCAATGAAGATAAACACTATCATTATTGAATAAAAATATAAGTACTGTATACATTTATTCTATATTATTTATTTATTTATTTATTCTTATTATGTTTATGTTACAATATATGTATGAAGCGTGCACAATGCCATAACGTTGTAAATGCCATTTTTCTCTAAATACGTTTTATTGAAGAATGGAATTAAAAATGCAATGTTTTCTGCCACAAAAGAATATTGTGGAGATATTGGTACTGTAAGTGGCTATATTTTGAAGATGAATTTATATGAAGATATAACACGAGTGCAAGTCACGTGACTTTTTGATGCTTAAAACGTTATGACTTATATTTACATCATTTTGATATCGCAGAGAATTTGTAACCTAGAGAGTTTTTTACCATTTTATTGTAAAATTGAAATGAATTCATTCATTAGAAATAGTGTTTTTTACCTTTCCTGAAAAGTTTCTTTTTTGGCATTTACAACATTATGGCATTGCACGCTTCATATATTCATATATAGACTATATATAATATACTTTTTCGTTTCTGACAAGGAGTGCTCATAAGATGGAAAAAGTTATCTTATGGACTCTCCTAGTACCTAGTGTGGGTTCGTTCAAGTTTACATTGAGAGCGGGAGTGGGTGGTAAGGAATGGGTCCGACTTATCTTGGACTGATCACCCCGAAAACTTCTGGGATTGCTGGCCCGGACTCGATTCCGGGTCATAGGCTGGAGTCTTAATCTCTTCGCCCAACTTCTGGATTATATCTGATTATTGCTGAAACAATATAGATCTATATAAATATAATTCATAATAATAGTGTTGATTCGAAATTGAGCAATAATATTTCCATGTTTCATACAGTTTAAATTAAAAATAACTTATAATAGGATTATGAAAATTTTCGATAATAGATTTTACGAGTATATAGTGTATTTAACTACATGTTTATTTAAAAAAAAATAACTATTAATGCAGTTAATATTATGATTATTAAAATATTTAAATAGGATAACCACAAATAAATTTTTATTGAAATTTGTTAATTTTCCAGTTAGCTTTTCATTCCGTTCAAAATAAACTAGGAGAAATTTTTATAAGACTGCGAGAAATCTTTCAAATTGATGATTCGACTTCAGTTTATGTTAAAGATTTAGAAAATTCTGTTCATTCTTATCTAAGAAGCAGAATAGATAAATTCGATTTAACTGACTGCATCCAGGTGAGAAAAGTTTTCATTTGTTAAAAGTATTTTGATCTATCCTCTTCCTATTATTGATTAAATAAGTCTTAATCAAATGTTACATTTTTTTTTCTGTTATTTATTTATTTTTATTTTGATCATTTTAAAATTAAACGTTTAATTTTTATTCTAAAAATAAATAAACATTCTTTTACTAAATTAAAATTGATTACGTTTTTGTTATTTTTATAGAACAATTTTTTTTATTTTTACTTTTAAACATAACGTTGCCATTATTTCAAATAAGAAAACGCATCAATGATTCAAAAATAGCTAAGTTTTAAATATTTTATTTAACGAATCAAATTAAAATTTGTTAAAGCTAGATAATTTACAAAAGCTTATTATCTTCATAATAAAGTAATTTTACTTAGATTAATAAATTATTATTATTTTGCAGGAAGTTTCTAATCAAATTTGGACCACTTTATATGACTTTCCATGCCTGAAGGATTGTGACGTCTTTTTAAAATATGTCAAACAATGTGTACGTCTAGCATGGGGTTTGATTAATCAAAATCCTTCATATGAGATTGAGTACGAAATGTCGGAATATCGTAAAGATCTTCATCTACGCTTCCATTCCTCAGATCAACAAAGTAAGAAAGTGAAGTATTATCTCTGGCCAGCTCTTCTGGAGACAAATGGAGGTGCTTGTGTCTACAAAGGTGTAGTAGTCACATGAAACGACTACTTGCCGCGTGTAAGATTCGAATTCATGTTCTCTGTTTAAAACAAATTTTTATATGTATTATTGTTTCAGTCATATGGTTTATATGAAGAACAACTACATCATTAGTATAGTAACTCTCATTTTCATTCTGTAAACTTCCTATATAATACATTTATTCATTTATTTCAAAAATCTTTGTAAATTAAAAAAAATTGCCTAATTTTAATATGTAAATCTCAAGTAGTTTTGCCTAGAAGCAAGCATTAGGCACCATCTCTTGACAAAGATTGGACAGAGATGTGGATAGAATAACTGGTANAGATAATTTGCATATTTTCCTAGTAAATAATTAGGATATATTTGTTTTTAACATCTTAAATTTTTTCAATTATATAAAATAAAATCACATAAAAAATATTTTAAACAAATTTTAATGAATTTATTCGAATTTTTGACATAGTTAAGTGATAAACGATAACTCTGAATTTATTTAAAAGTTTATGATTTATTTACAACTATTTAAAAATAATCATTTCACATAAGTATCAGTTAGGCTACAAATATTTTCATCTCAATCGGAAAATATAAATATAGATTAACAAAAAAAAAACAAAAAAAAACAGACCTAGAAGGAATTAACTAAAAAGAAATGGAGCAAGGCCGAATGTAAAGAGGAAAAAAAAAATAAAGAAGGTAAATAACGCTAAACAAAACTTCATCTATTAAAAATAAACGTTCATCACATGACATTATAATATTTTCTTCTTTATAAATAAATATTCACACATAAAGATTAAAGTACAGTACAAAATTAATAGTTTCATTATACATATATTTTCAAAGAATACACATTTTTCATTATAACTAATTAAAAAGGAGAAAATAGTTATTAATTTCTAAAATATATAATAACTGTAATTAATTTTCATTCATTAGTTAAATCGAAACGCTTATATTTAAATAATAAATGTCTTAAAACAGAAAATAATTAAATTGTAAGTAATCATTAATCTAGTTGCGTTTTTATTTATTTTATTTTTTTTTTAAATTTATAATATCAAATGAAAATTTTTCTAAAAGTATTCACCTGATTTGAAATGAAAAATAAACCCATATAAGATTTATATAGGTCTACATCATATGATTCGACGTATTATTTTAAAGAATTATATACAATAAGAACTATTGAATTACTACTTGAAATTTAATAAATGTGGGAGGAAAATGATAAAGTATTTTTTTTTTTTTTTAATAAATTACTGTTTATCGAATAATGAAGAATTCACAATATTTGTTATGTAAATTGTAAAGTTTTAAAATTAAATCAGTTAATTATATAAATTTTTAAAGAACTGTATTAATAAGCATTTCTAAAATTCAATATAAGTTTTTCCAATCTTCTGATTTAATTATTCTGTTAAATAATTTAATCAGAAAATTAAACTTACTACGTTTATAACATATAATTAAGTTTGAATTATTATGTATTTTCAAATTAATCGAATAGAAAGTTTCGTTTCATATTTAAAAAAATAAATTCTAATTACACGTGTTTATATCAACAAATCAAAATTCTCGAGACTTGTCACGTGCTTTATATGTTTCATCTTTTGTTAGCGAATTACACAATTAGAATCTTACGAATTCGAAAATATTTCAAATATCGAGTACCTTAATTAAAAATAAATAAAACGACATCATAAAAATAAGATTACAATTTGATTTTCATCAATAAAGAAATGAAAATTTTGAAATGAAGAGAAAAAATCTAATTTTGGCGCGACGCGAGCACTAACACCATCCACTAAGCATAATCCGATCAAGCATAATTTTTTATAAAAACCCAACATATATTAATGTTATTTTTTGTGTAACGTTTAAAAAAATATAAAAAAAATTAAATTAAAATACAAAAATATTTACATAATATTAAACTTATTAAACGAAACAACCTCGAACTATATTTCATCATCATATGGCGCGCAAGAACAAAACCAAATGGCAGCTGCCGTGACGTCAGTCAGGGGCAAATCGGGAGGTTTTTGATTTTTCAATCCCGATTTCATATTGCAGAAGATAGGTGAGTAAATTACTTATTTACTTATTAATTGTATAATGCATAATAATAAAATTTCGTGTTTATTATCACATTAATTATTATACATATATATATATATAAATGAGTACATAACCCTAAATGTAATAATATTAGTCCTAGCGCGTCCATTTCATATAATGGTTATCACTCACAAGTGCGTTGTAACTTCCTCTTCTCGAATAAACCAATAAAATTTCATTTAACAATTAGATTTTTCATCGTTTCCTATTAAATTTTCATACCGAAATCAACAGTAGGAAAGACGAGAGACGACGATACGAGAAAATGAATTGGGAGGTGACCTTGACAGAAAAATAGTGTTTCCTCGATTAGTTCTTGCATTTTATATTCGTTTTCCTTGTAGAATATAATTTTTTAAAACATTTTCTATCACGTGAGAGAAAAAATAACGGATGCCAGACTGACCCTCATTGTGTGTAACAATTTACAGTTGCATCACATGATGAGTCAACATCATTTGACTTTTTTTTGCTCCTCTGCGAATTGGAATTTATGTAAAGAAATACCGAGGGACATTTTTGTACAGAACCGTCCATAATCTGTATTTTTATAATCGATGATTGCTTTTATGAGGAATTTTTTTTTTCAATAGGCACTTGGGAATGCTTTTTTGCTACATGTAAAAACATCTGATGTGAACATTTAAGATTTACTTTTACATTCAATTAATTAAGTGAATATTACTTTAACTTCTGTTATTATTATAATAGTTAATCTTGGAAAATTGGTTTTATTAGCTTGTTTCTTAGATAATATATTCTACGTTTGTCTTAAATTATTTAAAAAGTAAGAAAAATTGAAAATTAAAAAAAAAAAGATATGTAAATATATGTATTATTTTGCCATATTTACTTGTTTATAATAAGACGATCTCGCATATTGGATGAGGTGTGACTTTAAAGATCAAAATAAAGAAAATTAGATGTCTTAATATAATTCTAATTTTATTTTGTTTAATCACAAATAAAATATCAAATGCATGTAAATGCACACATTGTCCTGCAAAAATTACTGGCATTATAAACTTTAAGAAAAAAATCTTGTAAAATCAACAACATAATTTGTTCGTGTAAAGCTGGACAATCGGGAATCTTTTTTGCCAATTCTTAACAGTCGAATCCACTCTCCATTGATTATGCTTATGAGTTTCTCCAAATTTTGATTTCTGAATAATCATCAGTTTTCACGTGGAAATGGATTAAAACTTATACCGGATTTCCGTGTGATTTTTGGAATTTCAATTTGGAATTCAATTCAACAGCTTTGCTTTTCCTATTGCTATTCATCTTTACTCCTGACAATACACAAGAACGATTCAAACGACCCAGATAAAATACTTTTGCTTTTAAACACCAGAGGGTGAGCAACCAGTAAAATATACAGTTCGTAAAAATTTACAAAATGACTTCTAATCTTAACACTGCATTGAGTAATAACAATCCACAAAACTTTTTATAACAGTGTTGTGTCCGTAACAATCTTCACTAACATTTTCAACCTCCACCGAGGTTTTCTTCAGGGACACCATTTAGTCACCATCTGAAGAAGACCTCTGTGGAGGTCGAAAACGTTAGTGAAGATTGTTACAGACACAACACCGTTATAAAAAGGTTTTGTGGATTGTTATTTGTAAAAATTATTGCAAAATGCAAAGAATCCTTCGCTTGTGCATATAGGACAATCTAAAGTTTTTGAAGCAGTAAAAAATGAATAAAAACCTTGTCTTATATGCGAGTAACTATGGTATATTAAAGTTATCTATTTACAAGGGAGAATGTATTCATGTATCATGTTATGTAATATTTGGAAAAATTAAATTTTTGACTTGTGTTGATTTACAATATCAATTAGAAAGATTTATGTACATTGGCTTAACACGGTTATAAAATATAAAATTTATTGATACATAAATTGCTCAGTCACGTATATGAATTTATGCAAAACTTGTAATGTAAATTAATCTGGCTAAATTTAGTTTTACAGCATATTAATAATCTATGTAGATGATAACATAGAAGATAGAATAGTTTGATATATACATATTTTAACACAGCATTGATAAAACCAGAATTTTAAAGGAATAACTAATAAAGAGTTGTATTTTCTGATCTACAATTTTTTGAGAAGTGAGCTCTAATGGTACAGTTTTATCCTTATCAGAATTTCAGATAATTTTTATTGATACATTTCAAAAAATATATTAACTCTTTCATAAATACATTTTTGAGATCTTTAAATCTATATCTGATATATTGAATATAATTATATAGATTCTTTCTTAAAAAATTTTTCAAGTAAAATTCTTAGTGTGTTTTCTTAATTGAAATAAATCATTTTTTATATAAAATGTTAGTATTTTAATTAGTAATTAGTAGATCAATTATTAAAATTAAAACATATCATTTGGATAAATATTTATGTTTAATTTAAGTGATAAATAAGGTTGCCAACTGTTTGGAATTTTAGTTATTTTTTTAAAAGTTGTTTGGAAATGTTCTGAAAAATAAACGAGGAATGTATGTAGGTTGTTTTGTAGCTTATCCATTTTTCCTCATGGTAAGTTGATCCCCTAATTGTAATAGAGATCAAATTTTTTCCTAATAGTTTGCATTTTTTTCCCTCCTTTTTCCACTTTGTACTCCAAAAGTTGGCAACTCATGAATATTGATTTTAAAGATTTTTGTTATAAATTTTGAAATGATTTGTTGATTAAATATTGAACACTGAAACATACAAATTGTTGAACTCAAATTGTAGTTTGAATTCAGTTTTTCCTGTTCTGAATGGTCAATAATTAAACATTGTAGTCTTCTACAGTTGATTTAGTTTAGACTTAACTATTTAAGAATAAATTTTATATATTATATATAAATATTTTTGTTTCTTAACTCTTAAATCCACATATAATTCATCAAACATTGGAGAAAGGTCAATGAAAAATATAATTACAAAAATATAATATGATATATAAAAATGTTTGATCTTTGATTTTTGCATATAAATCTATATATGTATATATATAAAATTGTTTATCTAGGATTGAAACTTATATTTGGTATCTGTGTTCTTACGGATGATTTTTGTTACTTTATCATGTACATATACTATATTACTGTATCTGAATAAATAATTTGAAAACTAATATAATTTGTTATATCATTTTTCTAATCATACAGTATAACTTGTATCTGTAACCAATGTTCATTTTCCTTTAAAATATATTTCTTGTAAACTTTTATATTGAAGATTTTTCTTCAAATTTCAACTACAAAACTTTCATTTTGGAAATAAAATTTACATAGATAAACAATTATTGTAGATTGTATGTATGAGGAAAGCCAGAAGCACTTTGATTTTTGTGTATCCCCACAAGAAATTATTTTAGGAGTTTGATCGCTAAAGAATGATAACAGGCTTCTAAAGGAAAGCTAGCAAATGTAGCTAGTGCTCAAAAAGAGGAGCCCAGATAAATAAGTCTGCTCAAACAAAGATCTTACAAATACTTACAAATGAGATGCAAAGAAGTCTCCTCAGCAGAATTGCAAAAGCAACAAGATGCTAAGAAGAATTTCATTCATAACAGATGTTTATTAAAGTGATCAAAACCAGTCAAAAATGTCACCCAAAAATTGAACATATTTCTTGCTAAATGAAAAAAAAAATCCATGCTTTGCACATAAAACAAGCTAGATAAAGGTCTTACTCTATCTAATTTTAGACTAGGAGTTTTTCTTTACTGTTTTAAGTTGCTAGAAATAATCTAATCTTTAACAGCTCTAGAAAAAGTATTATAAGAAATACTAAGAGATGGCTCAGACCCATAAAAAGGATTAGAAGCTCCCTGCTTGGCCAAAAAATCAGTACCTGTATTGATAATTTCTTCATATTGTGGCATCCAAAAAAGAAAACTCTTTCAACTTGATGTCCATAACAGACATAAACAGCACTTCTAGACAAGTGATAAAGTGAACCACAAGAGTCAAATTGCCTTCAAGGTCAGAAACAATAGAAATGTCTTAAAGGAAATTTTAACGAGGTCATCTATACAAGATAATGCAAACACATCAAGTAATAGCTACATTTCAGCTTGAAAAACAGTAGAGAACCTGCTTATTGGATAGAAATCCTTGTTTGAATATCCCCACAAATGCTAGCTCCAGTGCCACTGTTGGTTTTGAATTCATCTGTAAATCAGACTAAAAGGCACTTTACCCATATGCCAGTCAATGCAATTAGGAAAGGAGATCCACAATGCTCATCAAACATAAACTGAAGTAGCAGTTTTTTTCAGAATTTATCAAAAAGGGGTCTTTTTTCAACATGTTCCTCAACAGAGACTAATGACTCTGAAGTTTTTTGATTTAAGTATAAACTGACCATTACATTTGAGCCTGTAAAAGAACCTTACTTGCCTCAGCTTGAATGAAAAGATGAAGGGGAATATCTAATAGAACTTCTATCCACAGATATAGACATGGCCTGGCAAAAGCAATGCTGCATGTCTGCATTGCAGATTTTTCAACTTCATCTGATGGTTCTTATGAAGCACCCTTAAGGCAGCATAGATAATCTTAGGCCAAACTGCCATAGTATAAATCCAAAATAGGATGTGAATATGCAGGTGCAAAATCCATAGAAGACTGAGAGTCAATCAATACTCCAAGAAATGTAACTGAAGAAAAAGATTATATCCTTTTACCAGAAGAGAAGCTCAGAAAAGCCCTCCGAAGCTCTTATCTGATTAAAAGGAACGTAAACAGCACTGATGCACAAGCTATTACACTTGTGCCAGCTTTGCATGAGACAGGCCTCTTTGAAGGAGGTTTGATAAAATATTGGGAAATTTTCCAACACAGTATGAATTGAATCTTTTATAGTAGTGAGATAAATCTTGTTAACCTAGCCAGCATTTGACTTTGTGATCTTGAAAGTTCTGTACAAAAAACAGTACTGTATTCTTCAGTTTGAAGAATACAGTACTGTTTTTTTTTTTAATTTTGATTCAGCCATTTTGAATTCACAACAACTGTTTCATACATTCTATTATTATTTCAAGCTCATAATCTATTATGAACTCAAGTGGATTTTCACAGATTGGTAGCTTTTTGTCCACGTAACAGATTATATAGATCACATGTTTTCCAAACATATGTAATATTTATCGTAGCTAAATTGATGTAGTGCAAGCGTGTAGCCTATGACTGGTGGTTTTTGCTATTGGTGAAAGTATGAAGTACCAATTAACATCAGAGTAACACCATTCTGCAAGCCTATCTGTTATAGGAATAAAATAGATTTTACTTAGTTTCCTCATAATGACATTCTTTACACTTTTGTATTTGTATTTTTTTTCTTTAAAACATCTTTAGTATTATAAACAAGTGATTATGATATAAAAGATTTTATCTGTTTTTAGGTTTTGTATGTAATAATATGGATAAGAAATAATAAATGGTACAATACAGTATAGTAAAAACTAGAATGATTGACAGTCTTATAAATATTCTATACCCTAGCATAAGTCTTTAAGACTTCCTATTATGATAAACAAATAGTAAACATTTACCAGCAAATTGCCAAAGAGAGAATGATTTGACTAGTATATTGTAGAAAACTAATTGTCTAGGATAAAAAATGACAAAGAACAAGGTGAGAAGAGCAGTTTAATGATTCCAGCATGATACACATTTATGTATATATATATTATTGAGAGTTATAAGTATCTTTTTACAATTTTTGGTTAATTGCAAGTTAATGCTTATTTTTAAATCTGTTGGAATGCACATGCAAGATCTATTCTACATATTTGAACCTGAAGATGGGTTGTTTTGTGACAAGAAAATGTTTGTTTAAAATTTTGTTGCTGGATAAAATAAAGGTTATCATTTAAAAATATAATCTTATTGTGACTGAAAAAAGAATGAAATTTTTAAAATATTCAGATAAGTATTGATGAATTCACCTAATTTTTTTTTATACTAATAATTTTGGATATTGTCAGTTGTTGCATTTTTCTTATTGAGTTTTTTTTAATTAGTTGAATTTCTTTCTTAGTCATTATATTAAGTTATTTACAGAAACAAAAATTAGATAAATAAATAAGTGTTTTATGTTCAGTTTTTATGATTGGTATAGAATAATAATCAAGTAAATGCTTGGAAATTCATCATTGTTTTTAATGTTTATATAGAAATTTTAACAAAATTTTATGATGCTTTCTTTTCTTATAAATAAGGTATAACTTTTATATTAATAAACTCCAATAATTTAATCAAACAGAATAGCCTAAATATTTTTGGCTAATGAAAAGCTTATAAATATGATGTTACTTGTCTTAAACTATGTCAAGTTTTTTCAACAGGTTTCTGTAGATAAAATTAGACTGTAATCTCCATTTATTCACATTTTTATATGATAGTTTATTGTTAAATAATTACATCTTATTTTGTTATAAATGAAAAGTAGTAATATTGGGAGTTTATATATGGGATGTCTCGTAAGTCACACACCATAGGCAAAATGGCTGTTTAGAAAATGTTCAATGTGACTGAGTCCTGACTCCAAATCTGTCAGATGATCCAGTCATTTCATGCCATTTGTAAGATGTTGGGTCATGGGCTACCTGCTGTAATCCCTGACATCTTGCCTGTGTATGACTGATCTTCAAAAGGGTGACATGATCTATTCCTAAACAAAAGTCTTCAAGTGACCCCATAGATAAAAATCCAATGGTGTGAGATCAGGACTATGTGGAGTCATTCCACTGGTATTTATCTTGTATCAACATTGTCTTGAAACAGAAAAACTTTTGCACTGTAGGCAAACTATAATGTAATATGTTTCTAGATGTATATAGCAAGTCCTCACTTGTTGTTGAGGAGAGAGAAAATTATATTTGTAGTCATTTATAATCATTGCTGTTGAATTTTCTTTATAAATAGTAAAATTTATTCTGTGAGGTAGAAAGTAAATGCTAGATGATCCAATAAGGATAATATGAACCAAATTATATCTTGTTTATATCAATTAACATGTGGTAAAAGTAGTTTCATTATATGTTTGCTTATAGTTCAGTTTCCAAGAACCTAGTAAATTTTATATAAACACCATTTATACCTTTGCAAGTTTGTTTTTTGAAAAGAATACTGTTTTGAATTGAGTATTTTATAGCATTATCATCAGAAAACTATTTTAATGTGTTAAAATTATGTTAATATCATACCTATTTGATTTAATTAGTAGATTTTGAACTTGTTGTTCTTCATGTTTAGGCTAGCATTAGAAACATTAGAAATGGCAAAATTTTACATATGTGACATATATTGATGATAATCTGTTGCTATTTATTTTAATATTAATAATATGGATGAAAATAAAGACTTGTTTCTTTATTTCTTATCCACAGTATAACTTACCTGAAGACAGGTTGACCATAAATTTTCTAGCACCCCTTAATCTGGAAGGAATTACAAAAGAGAACAAACAAAATTCATGTGATCAGCAGACTAATTGAATACCAAACTGAATATTCATAAATGGTATTGTATTTAATTTGTTCCTTTAGCTTGTTTACACTGCAGTTGTTGATGATTCCCGTTTTTATGCATTTTAGTTTATTTTATGTAGAAGCCATAGCTAACATTAATTGAAAAGAAGATGCAAGTATCAGTGATATCAAGAATAAAAAAAAACAGTCTGCATTTAATATATGTTTATTTCATCTTTCTAGCACACTATAATGCTTTACAAACATGGAAGATATGTAATTATCTAAGATATATTGTTGAATTATTATGTAACTTGTTGGACTGACCAAACTATTGATCCAGCAGAATCTAGAATCAAGCACGCTGGAAAATTGGTGGTCAACTTGTGTTTAGTTTTGCAATGAAGTGTATTTATTATTTTTTGGGAAAGAAATTAAATTTTATAAGTATAAAACTATTAATAAATGAAATTTGTACATACATTCACATATACATTATATATTTAACTCATAAAATTGAGAAATAGACAAGAAAGTTTTAAGAAATAGACTTAAAAATTTTTGAATATTAAGGTTATAACAAAACAAAGGCAATAGTGAATCTTTATTTCCCATAGACACAATTAAAATAGTCTGATTATAGTTCAGTAAATATATTTTACAAATTATGAAATGCATTTTTTAATTGTTATTTCAACTATTAACTAATGAATAAAAATAAAATGAAAAACTTTTCATATACTATTGCATATTTATTTGAATATATTTAAATATACATGTTCTAATTTTTGTATTTTTTTCTTCTAGAATGATATTTGAAAAAGTTTTATAATAAAGATGAAAACACTTGTGAATTATCAAGTTCTGCTTTACTAAAATATTTTTAATAGTGTTTAAAACTTCATATGTTAGATTACAATATATTATAAAGTGGTACCTTGTACTTCAAATGTTTCAGAGTTTGAATGCCAAATTCAACAAAAAATTTGTTTCAGAGTTCATACAATGCTTCAAAGTTTGAACTGTCCATATAGAATAAAAAATGTACTCTAAGCATAAAATAAGCTTCTGAACAAATACTATAATTTAAAATTAGCACCAATCTATTAAAGTTCACAACTATTATAAATAAATCACACATCTATGCTAACTAAGGACAGTTGTTAACAATATGAAAAATAGTGTTGCCACCTTTTCAAAATCGCTGACCCTGACATCAAGTCAGATTTGTTTGAACAGAAGTTCCTGACACATATGCAATGTCATTTTACAATGCAAAGAATAACATGCATGCCAGTTCTAAATCAGTTACAGTTAGGGACTAGGGACTTGCATAGGAGTAACGTAAATAACCTAAATTAAGAAAGAACAGGTACAGATGACTTAGTTCTATTGGATATTGGAGATGTGTATGATTGTACGTGCAAAAAAAAAAGTTGACAGGTTGCATGCCATATGTTGGCTTAAATAGACTAACANTTTGTTTAAAATAAAATAATTGAATTTTCATAATACAATTTGGCTATGATTGCAATTATCATCAGAAATGTTGATATAACAACAAGGTGCAAGAAAATATAATTTTTATATTTACATTTATTTTTAAAATTTTCAGAAAAGTTCTGATGATAAAGTTTTTGACTGAAAATTTAATGGAATCAATAAAAAAAACTGTGTTACAAGGAAGATTTCAGCAAGTCCTTATAAAAACTGACAATTGTGAATTTCATGATATGAACTGCTTGTGGAAAATTGTAATGTAACCAAACTGAATGTTAAAGAAATTTATTATTGAAATAAGCAGAAAAAACATACACAAATACTGTAGAATAATTTTATGCGAGAATTTTATAAAATAAAAACAAATAAATTAGACTATTTCTGTAAACTGAAAATGATTAGCTGGTTGAAATTAAAGAACTGGTATGATTGAAAGCAAAGTAGGTAGTCATTCATCACATTTTGTGGGCTGTAACAATGTGTTTAAATATGTAACAGTTGTATAGTAGGACGGAGAAATCACTGAGATCAGCATTATTTGTAACGCCGATCTCAGTGATTTCTCTTTCCTGTTAAAGTTATTTTTAGTTGAAAATTGAAACTATTTAAGAATTATTAATTTTGGAATATTTTTTTTAGGTGCTGCTGGAAGTCTCCTGCAATGTACATGAAAAGTAGTATGTGTGTGTTTACATTTCTTGTTTTTGTTTAATGTTTTTTGTTTTGTAATTATCACTTAAGTATGTTATAAAATGGCTGCCTGAAGTAATATTTGTGGCAGTTTTTGGACTCCTCTCTGAAAGGAGAAAAAGCTATTATGCTGCCAGCAGATCGTGGTCCACAATAGTTTCTCTCTCTCTCTCTCATTGCTGAAACGGCCAGCAAGGGCATTGGTTTAGTGCTTGCCACTTACTGCAGTTTGGAAACATAAATGACTTTCTTATGACATTATTGTTTTGGTAAGTATTATTTATCAGCATAAATTTTTTATGGTTTTTGAATTGATTGAAATTCAAATTTTGTTTTTGATAGTTTGATTTTATTTTAGTTTTTGTTATAACAATATTTTATAAAGAAAGAACCGTGTAAAACAAATTAAATATAAATTATATGATAATCCAAGCACTTAATACTATATATTACTACAGATATTTTAATAAGGTATTATTTTGATATTTTTGAATATTGTTTAATGTATTTCATTACATATATTAAATTTTTAAATCTAAATATCTGTCTATAAAAAAAATAGTGAAAATTTAATGTGTTTAAAAAATAGGCTAGTTTGAATTTTATATTTTTACAGATCGTTAAATTTTTAAACTTGAAAAAGTGAATGTTAGAAATTTGAATGTTATAAACTATAATTTCTTACTATGGATTTTTTTTTCTAATTGTTGTAATCTGAAATAAATTTATGAATTAATAAAATTAAAATTTAATGTTGATGCTGATAACAAGGTTAATTTGATGGTAATTTTATAACATTGTGTTATGAATTTATTGTGAGGCTTAGAATGTTTTACTGTTTTAAAGTAAAACTGCAGGAATGTGTAACATATTCAGTGTGGTTGCATATTTGACATATTAATATATGGAGCAGTTTGTTTTTGTATTTTAATTTTTGGAATAGTGTTAAAATATCAAAAATAGAATTTTCTGTGTAAAAATTATTTTTACAACTCATAGAAGCATAACTCACTGATGAACTAGGTTGTCTGATTTTCTAATAAGTGTATTTTGATTTTATTTCAATTTTTTATCAATAGTTATTGGTATTAATTTGCAAGTGTATCATTGTCAGGATTGAATATTGACCTTGAAATCCTGGACAAAAAGGGGAAAAAATTTTATTTGTCATAAGTTTTAAAAATGAAGTACAAAGATGTATTTGATTTGAAGAGATGCTTTAGAACAAATTCAAAATAGGATTCAAATGTCCAGAAAATAGCAATGTATTAGATTCAAAGAATTAGTTTAGTTTGGGAAGAAAAGTTCTAGAAATAGAATGGGTTTTGGAATGTTTGTTTCAAGGATAGAAATCCAGGTTATTGACTGAAGAGTAGAAAAAGTAATCTTTTTTTGTTATTAGCAACACCCATCCAGACACTCCCCATCCTTAGAAATTAAGGGAGCTTTTCCTTAAGAACTGCAAATGGTTATTATGTGTCATGTAAATATCTTGTCTTCAGTGTATTAAGTGTTCAAAAAACAGAATTATGCAATACACCAAACAACCAGCAAAATCAAAAATTCATTACCTAAACATTTTCATCCCTATACAACAGACCTTACTAGGTTTGACCAGAAGAATATAGTATTAGAACATTAAGATGAAGGATGGAATAGAACATTTTTAATTTAAAAAATAAATATGAAGTGCAGAATGTTTTAATTTAAAATATAACTATGAACCTGACAATTTGTTGTATTTAGATTGAACCTGACAATTTAGATATGAACCTCACAATTTGTTGTATATAGATGAAAATGTTTAAATAAAGGATTTTTGATTTTGCTGGTTGTTTGGTATGTTGCATAACTCTGCTTCTAGTTTTAATTAACTAGAATCTTTGCATCAGAGTTCAATAATTACTATTACATTGTTTTTAAGTCTTATTAGAAGGACTGTCCAATTTATTGCTATCATTGACCCAGGGTTGAAGATTTTTTACTATGATTAACTAATATTTTTAATATAAATGTTAAATAATCAGATCAGTTTGCATACTTGCTATTTTGACTTCTAAATTAGTTTCAGAACATACATAATTTTATGCATTATGCTTTGTTTAAAATAAAATAATTGAATTTTCATAATACAATTTGGCTATGATTGCAATTATCATCAGAAATGTTGATATAACAACAAGGTGCAAGAAAATATAATTTTTATATTTACATTTATTTTTAAAATTTTCAGAAAAGTTCTGATGATAAAGTTTTTGACTGAAAATTTAATGGAATCAATAAAAAAAACTGTGTTACAAGGAAGATTTCAGCAAGTCCTTATAAAAACTGACAATTGTGAATTTCATGATATGAACTGCTTGTGGAAAATTGTAATGTAACCAAACTGAATGTTAAAGAAATTTATTATTGAAATAAGCAGAAAAAACATACACAAATACTGTAGAATAATTTTATGCGAGAATTTTATAAAATAAAAACAAATAAATTAGACTATTTCTGTAAACTGAAAATGATTAGCTGGTTGAAATTAAAGAACTGGTATGATTGAAAGCAAAGTAGGTAGTCATTCATCACATTTTGTGGGCTGTAACAATGTGTTTAAATATGTAACAGTTGTATAGTAGGACGGAGAAATCACTGAGATCAGCATTATTTGTAATGCCGATCTCAGTGATTTCTCCTTCCTGTTATACAGTATTTGATGTGAATATCAAGCCATTGATTATGTAACAGTTGTTATTAATTAATATTTTAATCCAAAGTAACTTTATATAAAGTTGGAGTTTACTTAATAGAATATTAGATCATGAATTTGTTAGAAGGCACATAAAGGAATTGTAAATGGACTACAAAATATGTTATTACTCCAATGTATAATAGTAGTAGTAAATCTACAAATAACTATAACAATCACTTTATGAATGAAACTAAAATACAGGTAGGCCTCCTACAACGCAGTACCTTTACAATGTGTTTTCGCTCCAATGCAGTTGGAAAAATGCAGAAATTTTCTTACAACACAGTACTTTTACAACACGGTTTATGGTATTTATAAACAAATTATCTTTCACATAACAGAAAAATCACAACGAATCACATGATACGAGCTGCAGTCCGGCATACAGAGCTAAATGTCCTTGAAAACAGCTGTTTGTCAACGTTGGCATGTTATTCCCTTGAAAGTTTCAGGGGAAGACCAGTTTCTAGACAGATGTGCATCAGTTACCATAAACACTCAAATATATCACTAAATTTTTGATAATTTATACTCTTTCAATAAGTGGGGACTGCAAAAATGGTCCAAAATACAGTATAAACTTCTATTGGGTGTATATTTTTAAGAACATAGTGAAGGGAAGTTATTTTTTATGATTTTTACTGTCCACAAAACTGATTGAAAAAATTTTAGCCATAACAATGCCAAATGAAAAGAAAGGACCATCGTTAAAAAGGAAATTTATAACTCTTTAAACAAACAACAGAAATTTTGGATCAAATTAAAAATCAAGAGGGATAGCTGATATAGCTGGTTTCATCAGTTGATAGTCATCAACTGATGAAACCAGTGTTAAATTAAACACAACAATTAACACCTAAATGCTAATTCCAGCACTGAATGAACAAAAAATTTTAATGCTCAATGTTTTTGGCTGTCTTTTAGAGGCCCTCCTCAGGATGAAAAACACAAAAAAACAGTTCTATGATTTGAAAACTGGGATGAAGCTACTCTTTTGCATAGTGCCTTCAACTGACATGACTTACGCTCGTTGGAGGCTATTGAGATTTATATAGAAACCATGAAGGGAAACTGCATTAACTCCGATTATATTCCGATTCCACAATCGTGGAAGTATTATTTACATTGCCACAAAGCACAACAATAATTGTATGTGTAATTATTTTTCATCTTTCTGCTTTGTAAAAGAAAACAATTTCCACATCGTTTATATCGCGCTAATTTTTACAACGCTATGATGATAATTTATGTATAGCTTTATTTTAAAATAATTATTTTTATGTTGTAAATGTAACAATTTTTATATCGTATGGTACATCGTTTAAATATTTAAAAATGTGGAACACAGCTGTATTTGAGGGTTAGAAGTTTTCAAATGATAGAACTGTTTTTTTGTGTGTTTCATCCTGAGGAGGGCCTCTAAAAGACAGCCAAAAACGTTTGAGCATTAAAATTTTTTGTTCATTCAGTGCTGGAATTAACATCTAGGAGTTAATCGTTGTGTTTAGTATATAGTTCCAGTTTACTTGTGCTAGTTTTTTGCCAGTGTTAAATTCGTGGCTAGCAATGGCTGGTTTGAAAAATTCAAAAAACACCATTCAAACGCCAAGTTTCTCTCTTTTTAGAACTGAATCCCAGTTTTTGTATTAAGTTGGTGTCTCCTATAACACGATTTCCCACAATACACAACGCAGTATTTTCAAAGAACGTATCTACCGCGTTGTAGGAGGCCTACCTGTATGTCTAAATATAAAGCCAAATGATTGCTGGATTATATCAGGCTATACTAATGCTATTATTAATAATTAGATGCTAAATAATTTGGCCTAGAGATAGGCATTATGTCAGTGTTACTTTCTTTACATTTAGTTATTAATAGTAGCATTAATATAGCCCAGTATAATCTGGCAATCATTTGGTTTCAATTAAAAAATTGGATTTTTAGATGTTTATATTTCTGTGCTTAAATAAGCAGTCTGAGAGATTTTTTTCATTAATTAAAGATAAATATTCTGTAAACAAAAATGCATTACTATGAATTTAGAATTCTTTCACATGGACTAGTATTCAGATATATAATGCAAAAGCTTATATCAGTGGTTCTTGTTAACCTTCTCAGAATTATGGAACACTTACAATTTTACAAGTTTTTTGTGGAGCACAGTTGTAAAATAAAACAGTATAGATATTTTTTTTATATTGCATAATATATTAAGAATCACATATATAACTATGCGATTCTTAATATATTATGCATCAGTGATTGTGCATCAGTGATGGGTCTAGGGTTCATTCCCCTGGAGGGGCGTCCCAGAGGATCCTATCACACCCAGGTCCAGAGCTGGTCATGGTTTACATAGATAGCCAGTCATCACTACAGGCCTTGAGCGGCGGGTACCATCGCGATCCGCTGGTACCCGTCTGGGCGAGGGTACTGAGGGCAAGGCACGAACAACACATTGTCTTGCGGTGGATCTGAGGCCACACTGGGATTTCAGGCAACGAACGTGCCAATCAGCTGGCAAAAGCAGGAGCCAGTGGCCCATTTGTTACGAGGACGGTGGAACCCTCAGCTACATACATAAAAGGTACTCTACTGCAAAGTTCAATGACATGCTGGCGAGAGCGCTGGATTCAAAGTACAGTAGGTAGGCCGACCTAAGCCTTCGTGCCTGTAGTTGGCCTCACTCCAATAAGTTGTTGTTGGTTGATGACACAAGTCTTAACAAGCCACGGGAGGTTTCCCCATTTCAAGTCCAAGTTCGGACAAGGAGATGGTAGCTGCTTATGTGAGTGTCCTCGCTGCGACGTGAAACACTATGTACTTGACTGTCCTCTAACCGAGGACTTCTGCCTAGGGACTGACAAAGTTGACTGGACTAAGCCCCCTGAGCAAGTACTTCGAACGCTAGCAGCTAGTAAAGGAAACTTAAAGAAACTAAAGGAATTGATGGGAAAAATCATAGATCTCTTTGATCTATAAGCCTAGTGGATGCACACTGTCTGATGTATTATCTGTTGAGTAGAGTGAGCTGAAGGTTTAGTATTGTGGACCAAAGTGCAGAACAGGTTGCACAATATAAAAGTTATGCCAAGTTAGAGAGCTGGGCTGGGGTGCGGATGGGAGCCCGAAAGATGTACCATGTGGTCCAGCTATGTTGTTCCTGTCTACTGTGTCAGATATCTGACCAGCCGATGAACAAGGCATAGTCTCTTTAACCCTGTGGTGCCATTAGGTGGGGCAGGAAAGGAGTTCCTTTTCGTATTTATTCAATAAGCCAGTAAAAACCGTAGACTTCTCTAAATGCATTTTTAATATCACAATTACATTCCAAATCGCTAGCCACGATATAAGGGACTAAATAGATATATAAGGCACAATTAAAAATAAAATAATAAAAACTTACTTGGTGAAATAAGATGTGTGGTGGATGTACCGGTACATACCTGGTACAAAATATTCAATTGTATGAATATACTTTTAAAGAAAATTATAATTAAATATAGCTTTGTAAAAAAACATACATAAAAATATAAAATATTCTTTACTTTTTAAATCTTAAAATAATGAACTTAGTCAAATAGCTTCCTACGAGTGGCTAATGGATGGAATCGATGGTTGCAGAGCAAGCATACATGTGGACTGCCTAATCCCCAGGGTGCTGATACCGGTCAATGTCAAATGCCTCTTTTGTTGCATCACTAGTATATCTCAAAGGACGCAACAGGGCTGTTGTAGATTTTAAACGTTTCTCACCATAGCTGTAAAAATCTAAATATGTTAAACTTAATAGATTGTCTGTCATTTGTTTTCTAACTAATTCGTTTTAGGACCAGGTGTCGTCCACGGAAATTTCCAAAATTTACAACTTTTCGGTCACTCTCGTTGAACTGGAAAAATTTCTGTCTTTATTACATCTAATACAGTATTTCGAAGAAATCAGTCCCCACTGTACTCGGCTATAGATTGGTTCGGTTAAGCTTTTGTTTAAGTAATATTCCGGCTCTTTCATCAGGGTTTTGTTTATGTCCCCAATTCCCTAATCGCTTAATTATTTAACTACTTCTTAAGTAGAAATAAGTCGAAACCGGTTACTTTGTACTCGAATATTTGTAGTCTCGGGAAAAAAGTGGAAAGACAAATTTTTATGACAAACGGATACATAAATCGTAAATTTAAGGAAAATAAATTCTAGAGCTTTTTATGTAACTCGTGCATCTCTCTCATTCATTAAATTTAGTTGTAAATGATGCTGTCGAAGTAACAGTTAATTTTTTAACATTATACAAGAATTGTACATGATTTTTTCTACATCCCCTTAAAGATGGGATATACTAAATCGTAATATCACTGGTTTAACATTGAAATCCGTGAGTAATATAAAATCGGAGAGCAGAATAAAAATATCAAATATTTTAATGGATTTTTTAAAACTCCTGTCAACTATACAGAACTATCATAAAAACATACCAGTAAATTCTTATCAGTTGGGTTAAGTTATAAATCTACTCGTGATTCGTGTAATTGGGTGAGGGCGGCCAAATATCTAATGGGCAGGCGGCTAACAGCCCAGAACTGGTCTGGATAGAATTGGAAACGGTATATGTGTAGCATCCACCCGAGGTCCTATGCTTCCACCAGCTAAACTGGGTGAGGTTGGTGCTCTGTAAAGCGCATGCGTGAATCTGGCTTTTTGGATGCTGGCGATACAGCGCTTCCACTCCGCCACTAATATTCGAGTATACAATGGCAATCTTTTCTTTTTTTTCACATGTAGTATAGAAATTTGTAATAAGATACATAATGTGGTTATAATAAAATACAGTATTGTGCGATTATTTTCATAAAATTAAAATTAATATGTATTTATTTTTTAGAAAATACAAGGGAAGCGGTGCGCCACTGATCCAGTGTCAGATTGGGTTGGTGAATGCAAAAAGTAAAGTAACTGTTAATCTAGAATTACTAGTCTAAAATCTCAGATTTAAATGTTGATGAATGTGGTCTTTAGAGAAGAAAGTAATGAGTACTCAACAGCTGAGTAAGAAATTTCAACAGTTAAAATTTTTTTATTGGGATAATGACAAATAAATCACAAGTTAAAATAGCAAGTTAATATTGGTTTATTTGGTTACTCTTGTTTTTATGTTACACAGGAAAAAATATGTATAAGTATTTAAATAAAAATGACCAAACAAACAATTTTGGGTCAGTTTGTATTGGTGATTTATGTAATTATAAAAATATAAAAGCTCTGACTATAGTTGAGTGCAATTGAAAATTTCAGGAAAAATCAATTTTTACTCCTGAAAGCAGTGTGTTATTCTCCTTTCTCTTCCTCAGTGTTAAAAATTAACAAAACTAATTAAATTATATGTTGGTTTCTGATATAACTTTGCTCTATGATTTAATTCTGTTCTAAAATTACTTATTACTTCCATTTTTATAGTGATGATGATAAAAAAAATACTTAATTTTACAGTGGATATTGTGGAAAAATAATGAAATATCCTCAATTAGTATCAAGCACTACTCCTGCATCCCTTCAAGATTGGTTAGAAGGTGAACTGGAAAACTTGGGTATTGATGGAGTTTATACACGCTACATTTTAAGTCTTCTTAAAGAAGATGGTGCTGATCTTGATCCACCAGAATGTGAGCACTTATTTGGTAAACTTGAAAAGTCTCAATACAAGCAATCTGGGAATTATCATGTAAGTATAAAAATATTATTAACAATTTTTAAAATCAAAATGTCAATTAAAATATTTTAAAATTAATTTACAGAATCTAGGTAAAGAATTAACGGTGCCACTTTCTGGAAAATTAAGACAGAAATGGAAAAGCTGGGAGAAGGAAAAGCTGTTTAAATCAGAAATTTATCGTTGCAACTGTATGGTGCTATTTGATTCAGAGGAGAGGAAAAAAAGTGTTGCAGTTGAATGTTTGAAATCTGCATCTGAACAGGTATTTATAAATTATATAATTGTAAATATATAGGCTATATTTTAAAATAGTTTTTGTTACAATTTTTTTAAAAATATACAAATATGTATGCAGAATATTATCTTGAAATAATCTTGTATTAAAATTTATATTTTTTATAAAAGCATACGAATTATAAAATTTTTCTAGATTTATTTTTTTAGTTTTTATTCATTTATTAATGTTGTATTGAAGTATAATAATCATTTTGCATATTATGTATATATACATTACAATTACAATTTTCTCTCTCTCTCTCTATATATATATTAAAATGATGAGTATGTGTGTATATATATATATACACTCATCATTTTAAAATGAAATATCCTCAATTAGTATAAACTGTAGGTTTTAAATACAGATACATATACATTTTAAAATGATGATATATATATACTTGTCATTTTAAAATGTATATATATCTGTATTTAAAACCTACAGTTTATATCTTTGACAGATGTGTAAAGAAAATAATTGGTAAAATATTTCAATAAATGAAGTGCCCAATGCCATAATGTAAATGCCAAAAACAAACTTTTCAGGAGAGAGAAAACACTTTTTCTAGTGAATGAATTCCTTCAAGTTTTGAAGGATTTCATTTCAATTTTACAATAAAATGATAAAAAACTCACTAGGTTACAAATTCTCTGAAATAAAAAAATGAATTAAACATAAGTCATAATGTTTTAAGCACCAAAAGTTGCATGGATTACACTCTGACACTTAAAATGTTATGGCTCGCACTTAAGTTCAACTTCAAAATACAGCCACTTACAGTGCCACTATTACCACAATATTTTTTATAGCAGAAAACACTGTGTTAACTTTCATTGAAGAAATGAATTCTAATTTAGAGAAAAATGATGTTTACAATGTTTGGCATTGAATACTTTAAATGTTGACTTTCAGCAGGTTTGACCTTGAAATTTGCATTTTGTTTTGGAATAATGTAATGGTATGCAGCTGACAGTTTTCTGTTAGCTACACATCATCTACATATGGCTTAACATGAAATTAAAAATGATTTGTATGTAACTGTACAGTACTATAAACATAGACATTGAGTAATGCCTCAGATGTTACTTCCCACACCACAGCTAAGACCAGATGAGTTGATATCCATTGATGCTAACAAAGCTTTTTCAAATTAACATTTAAGGAAATTATACAAATGTTGAATATGAAGAAATACAGGAAAGTGAGGGCAAAAACAACCTGGAGAAAATTATTTTACATTAATGGAAGTTCATTCATGGAACAAATTGATATCTTGAACAAAGTGCTTCTAATATCAAATTACTTTCAACTACTTTAGATTCTTTTTGTTACAATCAAGTATTAATAAAGCATTACAAAATGTTTAATCATTTTCCTATTATGTCATTATCCTACATTTTAGGGAAATTTTTGATAAACTGTCACTCCAACTTCTTGGAATGAATGGTATGGTAAAATTGGGGGGTAATTGCATGTTCTGTTTAACTTTATTTAAATTCATAGATTGTCTCTTTATTCATGAGAGATTTTACATTAAACTTACTAATTGGTAAGTACTTTTTTAAGACATGTCTATTGTTATGACAGCTTTACATAGATTGATGTTACTGATGTTTTTCAGTGTCATGAAGAAACATTCTTAGTGTAGTAGAAATAACAATTCTGAAAGATTTTTAATTTACACTAAATATTTATAAATTTTCTGACTTACTGAAACAGATATTGAGAAAATTACCCCAAATTAGTATTTTCATTGTAATATTTTTAAATTATTAGTTTTTGTTAAAAAATTGATTTTAGTAATGAATTATCTTTTTATTTAATTACTACATATAATATAGTAATATTTATCAACATCAATAATAACAATTAAGACATTCTTAATTTTAGTTTTTGATTATGAGAAAATGAATTTATATCATTAGAAATTTTTATGATTCTAAACTAGCTTTTATTTCATTGTTTAATAGTTTTGGTAATTGAAATAGTGATTAAAAGTGTTAAGTCAAAATTTAGATCTGTGGAAATTAGTTAAATATTAATTACTTGTCTATTATTTTAGAAAAATGGAATAGAAAAACTAATTGATGAAGTTTGTGCCAAATTGAAGAAGATCCAGTGTTCAGAAGGTAGTAAGTTATATTTGATTTTATAAGTTTATCATATTTAACATTAAATATATTGTTATTGTATACAAAAAATTATAAAAATTTTTTAAAGTTATTAAAAAATAATTAAAATTATTATTTTACATTAACATAATTAAAAAATAATTTTTTATAATCTATTTTATCAGATAAATTACCTTTCACAAATACTTTCTCACTTATAATATCTTATCATATTAATAAATTCTCACATACCAGATTAAACTAATTCAAAACAAAAAAAAAAAAACAGAAAATTGTGGAAAAATTGGAAAATAAATATAACAACACAGTTAATTTTGCTGTATGTCTGCTTTATGCATTTGTCTGTATGTAAATGACTAATGGTATTGTTATAAAATGAGATATATCTATATATATACAGTAGAGCGTCGATTTTCCAAAAGCCAATCATCCGAAAGAATTCCAGTCGGCAAATTTAAATTTTCGCCAGTGCTGTGGAGCTTCAATCTTTGGCTATGTCTTGGGCTACTCAATTATTTTACGTTTTTGATACTAAATTAACATCTGAAGTATAATTTTTTATTATTTTTATATTTTTCAATATATTTATTTTGTTTGTACAAAATAAAAAAATAATTTTTAACGATACAATAGTCTTCGTTATGCTTAACATCGACGAAAATTCAACGCGAAGTGACACGCAACGGAGAAAAATTTTGACATCGGATACGTTAAACTATTTTTTTTTTACTTTAAAAAATCTGAAATTACTTTAATAAATAAATTTTACAAAATATCAGAATTTCTAAATTAACAACAAACAATTGGAATAATTAATAATTTTCTATTCATTACATAATTTTCACACATTTGATGATCAATTAATATGGCAAAATCTGCTGTCATTGATGATGATTTAAAACTATTAATAGTAATATTTATCAACACTAATAATAACAATTAAGGAATTCTTAATGATTCTTAAAGTTTAATGCATTTATTAGAAGTGATCAGAACAATCCACTTTTTTTAAAAAACATTCAATATCAACTTATATTGTTTCTAAAATGTAAAACTTTTTCTTGAAAAGCAAAAACTAAAATTTTTTAAACAACATACAGTGGTGCCTCATATAACGTATGCCTTGAATAACAGATGCTGCGAACAACGGACTTTGGCCATTATGTGACTTAAGCAACAGACTGGCTGCGAACAACGGACTTTCCGTTCGGCAGTTACATGACATGAACAACTGACTTTCTGTGAACAAGTGCAAATGATGTTTCCACTCTTTTGCCGTTGCCAATGACAATCTGCTATTTTTATAATATAATAGTATTATTAGAATATATTATTAGTATATCTGAAGTACAGAGCTCCTGTTGAGATTCGGCTTGCTCCCTTGTTTATTACGTACATCACTTCAGTGTAGGGTATTTACATTTATTCAAGTGTTGTGCAAATCATGGCTTCTAAAAAAACAGAAAGGTGATTTCAATTGAAACAAAGCAAGAAATCATCAGAAGGAGTGAAAGTTGACAAAAACTTCCTTGTCAAATGGGGAGAGGTTCAGGAGTTTACCAACACTCATTATTCAAACAGAGCTGAGACCAACAGGATCAATGATCTCTACAATGACACCCTTGCCCATCATTTTCGACAGGTGTTGAAGAAGAGAGAGAAACAGACACCTTGGACATGTTTTTCAAGAACCAGCTGCCAAAAAACAAAGGATGGAACAAGAGGAGTTGACCCTGCAAGCTCCAGTAGCCTCTCCTGAATCTGACTCTGATTAAAAAACAATAAAAAGAGACCTGCTGCAATGTGTAAAAAGTTTGTATCTGTATGAATGTGTGAAGAAAGCGTTCCTCCACCTTCTCCTCCACAACATCTGACTATCCGGCATAATTGGTGACTGCTCCATTTTCTTTTATGGTACAGTACGGTTATTTTATGCTGCAGAATGAATTATATGTTTTAACATGTATTTCTATGGGAAAATTAGTTTCGTATAACGAACTTTTCACTTAACGGACGTGCGCTTGGAATGGATTAAGTATGTTATACGAGGCACCACTGTATATGATATAATACAGTGTACCTTAAATTATAACTATAATAAGTTAGAAATATTAGTTTCATGTAGAAAATTCAATATTAAAAATTAAATGATAAAAACTTTAAAAAATAAATGATAGATGAAGTTACTGTTTTGTTTTGCCAAAATAATTGAAATGATAAATTCATATTACCCAAAATGCTTGCATTTATATCACTGATTGACTTATCTACCATCTTTGCTTTTATAGTTGATAGCAATTGTAAGCTCATTGCAAAGCAAATACAATAGAACCTGCTTATAGTAATCATTTTAAGATTAGCCTATACTGATCATGATAATGAATGACTAATAAAATTAAGTAAATATGACTATTCTTAATGAAAATTTTAGTTTTATTGACTAGCATTAAAAGAATGTTAAAACAGTTTATTCAATTCAATTGAATTTATTCCTATAATGGGTAGATCACTCCTGGAACAGGGAAAATGCCTGATTGTTTTAAATATAACATTAAACATTTGTTTGCCAAAAAAATATATTCTATTGATACATAAAGAAACTATTTATGGAGTTTAAGTTAATGTTTCTGAGTTGTCCATTGATTTTTCAACTGTGTTCCAATCTATTTTGAAGAGAATGCATTACCCTTTCTAAGATGTTCTACGGAATGTTATTTATGACCATTTGAATATACAGTCGACCCCCCCCATAACACGGTAGATACGTTCCTGTTTTTATGAATCCAGCTTCTAGGAGTCCAGCCAATCACAGCCCGGCACGTATGCAGTTTATTGACTACGGCTGTTTGAAAGGTTTCTTCCATAAAATTAATCGATTCTAGACTAATTTGAATCAACATTTCCAAAATACATATAATTTTTTGGGAATAATCCATATAAACTATGCTATAAACAAAAGAGATATTATATAAATCCAAGATCGGCACTGCTGTCGAATCGAAAGGTTAACTAAATGAAGTAAAAAGATGTCTCTCCTCATTAGAGTTTAGGAGAAAAGTGAGGTCAAAGGACAAAGGTCACACAGTGGTGCCCTCTGCCCTACACGTCAAATTTTTATCTGTGCCAAGATGTTACTATACTAGATAATGTTAAAAAAAACCCACTTGTAATGACATAAAACCGTTTTAACGTCATATTTGANTGTTTTTATGAATCCAGCTTCTAGGAGTCCAGCCAATCACAGCCCGGCACGTATGCAGTTTATTGACTACGGCTGTTTGAAAGGTTTCTTCCATAAAATTAATCGATTCTAGACTAATTTGAATCAACATTTCCAAAATACATATAATTTTTTGGGAATAATCCATATCAACTATGCTATAAACAAAAGAGATATTATATAAATCCAAGATCGGCACTGCTGTCAAATCGAAAGGTTAACTAAATGAAGTAAAAAGATGTCTCTCCTCATTAGAGTTTAGAAGAAAAGTGAGGTCAAAGGACAAAGGTCACACAGTGGTGCCCTCTGCCCTACATGTCAAATTTTTATCTGTGCCAAGATGTTACTATACTAGATAATGTTAAAAAAAACCCACTTGTAATGACATAAAACCGTTTTAACGTCATATTTGAAGCACTCCCAAATTTACAAAATTAGATTACAAATTTTATTTAACATAGAAGAAACTAGTGTTCAGTCCTAAGGTCAGAGTTCACTTCTTAGAATGACTGTAGGTGGTACTCTCCCCTACCTGACTTCAGTGGGGTGAGATGGCTGTTTTGCCTGTTTGTAGAAGAGGGTCACCATTTTGTATTTTATTTTGACTCGGTTCTCGGTCTCCTGACTACCTACAAGTCTGGATTTTTTTTATGCGCAAATGATTTGGTCACCTAATACTTTGTGCCAAATATCAACTCTCAACATGTACTCCTTCATACCTCTAAGCTGGTAATATTTACTGGCAGTATGATTTTATAAACAAGACAGTCTTGTCAATAATAATAAAAATTGTGTTTTTTTAATTGTATTAATGTTGTTATAATTATTAAATTACATATTTTGAAACTCACTATTCTGATGACATTACACAACTGATAATATCTGTGATTACAGTAAGCATATTTTACAGTATTTATCATATGCTGAACCAACCGTAAAATAAAGGTCCATTGCATTAAAAAGTTATATAATTGATAAACTAATCATTTTAAATAATTGGTTTGTTTAGTCATATCAAATATATTTTAAATGTTTTAATTATCATGTATTTCTTTTAATACAAACTTTTCATAATTTCAGTTAACTCAAAAGAATGTACAAAGGATGAACTTGGATCAAAAGTGTTACTTTCATCTCCCCAGGAACAAGCAGAAAAGTGTGTTTCTTTAGTATTAATTTAATTAATTATATAACAGCAATAAATTTTAAAAATTTTACAGATACTATGCAGCCTTTCCAGCTCTTTGTGGCAAAATTGAACCATTGGCCCAGCTGTGCCAACAGCAAGAGAGCAAGAAAGTTGAATCTGTATGGGAGAGAAAGAAAAATAGCTTTGATGATGGAATTGGCAGTTCTTTCTATGTACAAGAATATACTGACACACCATCAGAAGAAGAATTGTATTCAGACTGTGATAATTTTGATAAGCATAGTGATATGTCAGATAAAGAAAATGATGATGAGATGTTGAAATTAGAAGTAGCAAAGAAAATCTCACAAAATAGAAATGATCAGAAACCTTCATTCATTGTTCCCAAACTGAAGATGTCTGTACATCGAATACCTTTTTCTGTTAAATGTTTACCCTTCACTCCAATTAATGTTGCTGAAAAGAAGATACTTAATAAGCTTGATGATTCAATGACCCAAATTAATCGCTTTAATTCAAATAAAACAAATGAAATTAATTCGAATAAGAATAATCCACATGTTGTTCCTGTCAATGATATAAATTTAACTGAAACCAAAGTTGAAGATTATAATCATGCTTGGGAAGATGTAATTATAAATACGAAAGAATTAGATGTTTTGTCATATCCTGCAACTTTAGGTGTTTCATTTAATGATACATTAGAAAAAGAAGATTACATTTATAATAATTTTGCTGGTAAATTTAATAATCAGTTGGCATCAATCTGGGCTCAGAATGATTTATCAAATTGTAGTTTTGAATTTAATTATCCACTTATATTTGAAGTTTCATTGAAAGAAAACATTAAAAAATCATGCTTTTCTGTAAAACTTCTGGAAGAATCTATAAAAGATATTAAATCTATATGGACTGTCAGTCCAGATGATTTTAAATTGCTAAGTCCATCATCATCAAAACTATTCCCATTAGCTTATCTTCTGGCAAACAATGTAGCATCTGAACCAGAAATAGAAATGAAAAATGATAAACAGGCATTAGAAGAAAGTACTAAGTATTTGCCTAATGAGGATAATTTTATTGAAGTATATGATAATGATGACAATGATGATGAAAATACAGATGATTTATTTCCGAATGTTTTTCCAGCATTAGGTTCTGAGAAAAGAAANAACCAGAAATAGAAATGAAAAATGATAAACAGGCATTAGAAGAAAGTACTAAGTATTTGCCTAATGAGGATAATTTTATTGAAGTATATGATGATGATGACAATGATGATGAAAATACAGATGATTTATTTCCCAATGTTTTTCCAGCATTAGGTTCTGAGAAAAGAAAAAGTGATAGTGCTGAAAATTTTTCAAATTTTAGTCTTTGGAAAGATCGTTTTTATAATGATGATGACGATGATGATGATTACTTAGATAAAGAAGGCACTTACTCATTATGGTCAACTCCATCATCAATTTCAATTTTACCATTAGAACCTAATGAAAAAACTATAGATTACAGTTTTGATGATAATCATTCTTTTCCTTGGGGTTTAGATGAGTCAAAAAATTTTGATGAATCATGCCATTATATTCAACATAATCACTGGTGTTCTGATGATTGCATTCATTCTTCTCTTGAAACTAAAACATCTCTGAATAAAACTAAATGTACACTCACTTATCATAAAGGTGAGAGTCTCTTTGTAGAAGTTACTCCTTCTCCTAAACCCAAAGCTGTAACTGAAATAAATAAAATTTCTTTTGAAAGAGAATCCACAGAACGTGATTTACTTGAACCACCAACATCAGATTCTGATGATCTTCTCACTTCTCCAAAGACCCATTTTCAGCCAATTCATCAGGATTCTTTAGAGATGGAAAATGTAGATGATAATGTAACAATGATGCTTACTATAAATGCAGATTCACCAGAAGAATGTGAATTCGATAATCTAATTATTTTACCTGATGCAGAAAATGATTTAGAAATTCAAAATAAGCATGATTATTTATTAGAAATGGATGAATATTTACCAAAAAAAGCAGATATTTTTTATGATATGCAAGAAATGCAAAATGATATTCAACCAGCTTCATTTAAAGAACTGCCTGAAAAAAATAAGTTTGAAAGTGACAAGAAAGTTTATAATGATGATATAGAATTGAGCAATTTAGATATATCAGAATTTGTACAAATGTGGAAAAATAATTATTATAAAGAAAAAGCAACCAATACAGAAATACCAAATTTTGATTGTGTTAGTAGTCAACCTCCAGTTGAAGATTTAAATGAAATAAGAAATCTTATTGAAAAACTTAGTTCATTTGACAGTAATAAAGAAATAAATACTTCTGAAGAACAATTTCTCTGTTCTGAAAATATATCTGAAAGTGTAGAAATGTGGAGATGGAGTACTAATGATAGTAGTGATGATTGGAATCTAAATGAAAATGCTTTTACATCATGGCAAAATATTAATAATCTAAATGATATTATATCATCAAAAGATGTAGAAAAATTGGATAATAAAAACAATCTTGAAGCATTAAAGAAAGAAATTGAAGAGGAGGAGGATGAACTGTTCAGAGATATTACTAGACTTAAGAATGAAACTTGCAGTAGTAATGTTGAAAGTCCAGAAACAATTTTTGGCACTTATTGTGGATATGAAAATGAATATTTTTTGGAAAGCAAACAATGGAGTGAAGATTTGGAAATACCTGATTTTTATTATGATTACAATGGTGGAAAACAAGACTATAGTGGTTGGGATTCTTCAGATTCCAAAGCTTACTCTGATCAGTTTAATAGTTCTCTTGGCCTTCGCAATTCAGTAAGTAATAAATTAANTCATGCCATTATATTCAACATAATCACTGGTGTTCTGATGATTGCATTCATTCTTCTCTTGAAACTAAAACATCTCTGAATAAAACTAAATGTACACTCACTTATCATAAAGGTGAGAGTCTCTTTGTAGAAGTTACTCCTTCTCCTAAACCCAAAGCTGTAACTGAAATAAATAAAATTTCTTTTGAAAGAGAATCCACAGAACGTGATTTACTTGAACCACCAACATCAGATTCTGATGATCTTCTCACTTCTCCAAAGACCCATTTTCAGCCAATTCATCAGGATTCTTTAGAGATGGAAAATGTAGATGATAATGTAACAATGATGCTTACTATAAATGCAGATTCACCAGAAGAATGTGAATTCGATAATCTAATTATTTTACCTGATGCAGAAAATGATTTAGAAATTCAAAATAAGCATGATTATTTATTAGAAATGGATGAATATTTACCAAAAAAAGCAGATATTTTTTATGATATGCAAGAAATGCAAAATGATATTCAACCAGCTTCATTTAAAGAACTGCCTGAAAAAAATAAGTTTGAAAGTGACAAGAAAGTTTATAATGATGATATAGAATTGAGCAATTTAGATATATCAGAATTTGTACAAATGTGGAAAAATAATTATTATAAAGAAAAAGCAACCAATACAGAAATACCAAATTTTGATTGTGTTAGTAGTCAACCTCCAGTTGAAGATTTAAATGAAATAAGAAATCTTATTGAAAAACTTAGTTCATTTGACAGTAATAAAGAAATAAATACTTCTGAAGAACAATTTCTCTGTTCTGAAAATATATCTGAAAGTGTAGAAATGTGGAGATGGAGTACTAATGATAGTAGTGATGATTGGAATCTAAATGAAAATGCTTTTACATCATGGCAAAATATTAATAATCTAAATGATATTATATCATCAAAAGATGTAGAAAAATTGGATAATAAAAACAATCTTGAAGCATTAAAGAAAGAAATTGAAGAGGAAGAGGATGAACTGTTCAGAGATATTACTAGACTTAAGAATGAAACTTGCAGTAGTAATGTTGAAAGTCCAGAAACAATTTTTGGCACTTATTGTGGATATGAAAATGAATATTTTTTGGAAAGCAAACAATGGAGTGAAGATTTGGAAATACCTGATTTTTATTATGATTACAATGGTGGAAAACAAGACTATAGTGGTTGGGATTCTTCAGATTCCAAAGCTTACTCTGATCAGTTTAATAGTTCTCTTGGCCTTCGCAATTCAGTAAGTAATAAATTAAATTATAATTTAATTAAATTTTCAGATTTATTATAGGAAAACGTAATATAATTGTAACAATACAGTGGGTGATTGGTTAATGAACAGTGTGGACAGCGAACAAATCGGATAACGAACACTTTTGCAAAAGATTTTTATGTTTGGACAACGAACAATTCACAGAACAAACACAAAAAGAAGCTTCATAAAATAATGAATACCAATTGGTTTTCTCTTGTCTCCAGGTAACAATTCAAAACCTTTTGGAGTGTGAGAGACACTCAACCTGATACCAATCAGATATTATTCCTCCAAACTTTGAAACTCTTCATTGAAATTTGACCCACTGGTCTTCATTCCCTGAACACTGGGTGTTTGGTCATGGGTTCACGCCTCGCTCGGACTGGCTGGCCACATGGAGTTTTCTGGGTTTTCTTCATGTCTATAATGCCTAAATAGGGGCCAGTTTCCCTTAAGACCTCCTGGAAGGCACCCCTCCTAGGCAGATCGCCCAAGTGTTGCATTGCCATAACTAAACAAAACAAACAAACTCCATTGTAATTTCAGCTTATTGTTTATCTTACTGACACACAATTTTTTATAGTTTTTGTGACACTGTTGGACACTCGTTAAGTTTTGTGTCGGTTTCTATTTTCTAAAGGTGAGTTTAACTCTCCTATCAGATATTCATTAACAGTTTAACACCAAAATTTTGAATTTCATTTGGGCCTTACATTTACATAATTCTTTCCTGCACTAGTTGATTTCTGTTCACTGAATTTTTGTGAGTGCTTTTCTGAACTTTCTATTTCAAAAAGACATTGATAATATTATAAAGCCTAAAAAGAGTGGCGAGTCAAGAACTGTGCTCACCTTAGAAATCAGGCAAGAGATAATAGCCAAGGTAGAGAGTGGGCAGAAGATGTCTGATAGTGCTAGGCAGTATGGTTTGAATAGATCTCTTCCCCTGGTTCTCTGAATTGAAGAGAGNATTGGTTTTCCCTTGTCTCCAGGTAACAATTCAAAACCTTTTGGAGTGTGAGAGACACTCAACCTGATACCAATCAGATATTATTCCTCCAAACTTTGAAACTCTTCATTGAAATTTGACCCACTGGTCTTCATTCCCTGAACACTGGGTGTTTGGTCATGGGTTCACGCCTCGCTCGGACTGGCTGGCCACATGGAGTTTTCTGGGTTTTCTTCATGTCTATAATGCCTAAATAGGGGCCAGTTTCCCTTAAGACCTCCTGGAAGGCACCCCTTCTAGGCAGATCGCCGAAGTGTTGCATTGCCATAACTAAACAAAACAAACAAACTCCATTGTAATTCCAGCTTATTGTTTATCTTACTGACACACAATTTTTTATAGTTTTTGTGAGACTGTTGGACACTCGTTAAGTTTTGTGTCAGTTTCTATTTTCTAAAGGTGAGTTTAACTCTCCTATCAGATATTCATTAACAGTTTAACACCAAAATTTTGAATTTCATTTGGGCCTTACATTTACATAATTCTTTCCTGCACTAGTTGATTTCTGTTCACTGAATTTTTGTGAGTGCTTTTCTGAACTTTTTATTTCAAAAAGACATTGATAATATTATGAAGCCTAAAAAGAGTGGCGAGTCAAGAACTGTGCTCACCTTAGAAATCAGGCAAGAGATAATAGCCAAGGTAGAGAGTGGGCAGAAGATGTCTGATAGTGCTAGGCAGTATGGTTTGAATAGATCTCTTCCCCTGGTTCTCTGAATTGAAGAGAGAAAATTATATGAAAAATATGAATATGAGATATGAATATGAGAATGAATATGACAGTACAAGTAGGCACAATCTCAGCTAAGAAAGATATAATCAAGAAGACTCAAGCAGCTAAAGGAGTAACGAAAATCGCATCTGAGAAACAAAGATGTGCCATCTGTGAAAAAACGGAGAGATTGCTTTTAGTTTCTTATTACATGTAAATAAACATAGTAAGAAAGCATATAATTTTTTATTTGTTTTACACAGACACAATAAAGTGACTCCTTTCAAACACTTGGCAGATTATTCATCTTTTTATTCAGTTTGGACGCTAGTTACAAGTTGCGTTTCGGGCATTAGCCCCTCCTCGGCCAACTAAACATTAAAATCAAACATGAGAAAATTAACAATGTAAATTCGTCTCTGTAATCCAAAACACACGCTTTGGTAGATGTATCTCACAGCAATTTCTGGTTAGCAAATTTAACTTTTATTACTCATTGAACTACAAATATATTTTGGGTTGGTATAATATACTCCAACCCCTCTTCAGTGCTAGTTCAAATAAACAAAAAGTGTTAAAACATGACTATGTTATATTACATTAAATGAAACAAACCAAAAAACACTAAAAACACTTACATTTTTTCATTAAGTACACAACAAAAATTGTTTCTTATTTTGCTTTTTCACAAATTAGGAGGTAGGAGGGTAGACCGTTTACAAACATCAATTTATGTTTTAACTTAAATACTATGCATACCATATTAATATGTAAAATACAAAATAAAGATTGCTATAGTTTAACTTGAAGGAAAAATTGATACTAAGGATGGATGAATTCAACGTCTGTTCTCCAGATGTCCAGTCTGCAACGTGGGGACTTTTCACTCCTCTATCCCCTGACCAAGTGATCTCTTCCCCTGGTTCTCTGAATTGAAGAGAGAAAATTATATGAAAAATATGAATATGAGATATGAATATGAGAATGAATATGAATATGAGAAAATTATATGAATATGATAATTATATGAATATGAGAAAATTAAATGTGTTTTATCTATGGAATGTTTAATTTGCATATGTATATGGAAATTTTCTCATGTTTGATTTTAATGTTTAGTTGGCTGAGGAGGGGCTAATGACCAAAACACAACTTGTAACTAGTGTCCCAACTGAATAAAGAGATGAATAATATGCCAAGTGTTTGAAAGGAGTCACTTTATTGTGTCTGTATAAAACAAAGTAAATTAACAACACGGTCTCATCGGAATCAAAAAAATTTTTTTCTTAATTTATTTTTTGAGGTTTCCAGAATGAATTAATCAAATTCCCATAAAAACTGATGATCGGTTAACAAACAGTTTGGATAGTGAACAGTCTTGGAATGGATTATGTTCGTTAACCAATCACCCACTGTAATTTTATTAGATATAATGTTTATAAATAATTCTTAATGTAAACTAGAAATTATCTTGAAAATGGCAATAGTGTTGCACAAAATTCTAATTTTAATTTTAATGTTACATAAAATTTATTTTATTCATTTTATATAATCTTTATAAATAGTCTGTCATACATTCCAATTTATACATCTGTTGTTCTTTATTGTTACATACAAAAACACTTGAAAATATTCATTAAAATAAATTAACATTTTCAAACTTAAACAGCTTGTGTTAAGATGTATGCAGTAGAATTAAAATATTAAATAAAATGAACGCTGATTTCAGGAACAAAAAATAAATTCTTTCATGTAAGGTATTACAAAATATATTCCTTTATCTTAACTTCTATTAAATTTTTAGCATTTAATTCATTCACAGTTTTGTAGGGAAAAAAATGTCAGTTGTCTGCAAAAACTCTTCATTTTTGTTTTATCTAATATCAAAACAATTTTTAATTTTATTTTAAAAAAAATTCTTGAAAATATAATTCATTAAATTAGTCTATTATTCTAAATTTGTGAAACAGTTAAATTGTTGATACTTCATATTATTGATAAAACATTTGTTTTGAATAAAATAAAATTGACTTTTTATAATTATATCCATTTTTATATTAAAGATGTCAAATTATTTCAAAAAGGGACATATATTCTTATCATAATTGCTTATTTAAACAAAACTAATAAATAGAACTTAAGCAAACTCAAATTGATCAAATTCAATGCACTTTTAAACAATTTTTAAAATATTTTTGAAATAATTTGAATTTCATCTTCAGAATTTCAGCAATATACAAAACTTCAGACAAGGAACAAAACTTGACTCTTGATTTGTTGTATTGTTAAAATACATATTTGTTTACATTCTTTGTGCTTCTGATTATATTATTTTTATAACAAGTTTTTCATTGTCTAACAATTGAGATTTTAAATCTGACTTGGTAAATTGTAATTCTATTGGTTGCACTTCTATAACTGAATAAGTATTAAACATTTAAAATCTCCCAGTTCTCAATATTGCATTTAGAGTAATGGTTAGGGTTTAAATAATCATTCATGTTCTGAGATGTAAAATCTGAATGTTCAATTGTTTAATGCATTCTTCATTGGGCATATAATATCTGAAAAGTGTTTTGATCAGTATATTTGGATCAGCTGGGATGTGTTGGTTTGTTTTTCCATATATTGTTCTTGTTCCAAAATGTGACTGTTTTGTTGCTTTTTTGTATTCCTTTTTTTAAAGCTGCCCCAAGCTTATGGTAAACTTGTTCTTGATTCTATTTTTTCTTCTTTAATTAAAAAAAAGTAAGAAAGACCTACTGTCTGCTTGCATCTACCCAGGAAGTTTGTTCTATATGAGCAAAAGGTATTAATCATTTTCCTTTGGTCATTAAGCCAATAAAAATAATAAACTACCATTAAGTTAACATGTTTATGTTGATCTTTTTAATAAAAAATATCAGTAGAAATAATTTTTATAAAATTAAATTTTAATGACATTTAAAAAATTATCAAATGAGATATACATATAGATGAATAACTTTCCTCTGAGAAACTTACTTGTAATGAAATTTGATAGCTAGATTTATGTACAGTACATGCCTTTGTGGAACACATTTACAAAAAACTGTGTTTTTGATTGTTTTGAATAACATTATGAAAATGGCCACCTGCTTTTAATTTTTTCCCTTTAATGGATTTTCAACTGAAAAACAAAAAATCATCCTCAAAAGTGACAAAAGTATTTCTTAAAACTAAGTCTATTGGAGCTACATAAATACACGTGTTTGTAACTAGGTTTTTCAAATTTCCACCAAAAGAGGGTGCTTTTCTGTGGTGCCATGTGATTTAGGTAGGAAACATATACTACAGTAGAATTTGATACTTTTAATTTTCTGCTAGTTTTGTTTAAGAACTGCAATGTTATCCAAGCATTTGACTGTTACTGAAAAAAAATTTATATATATTTTGTGTTAAAATTTGAAAGTATTGATTTTGCAACTGCAAATCAATACTACTAGTAGCAAAATGTGAATTATACCAGGAGTTAATCAATTTGATTGTTTAATGCTTATTGTAAAAATATTTTAAAAACTTCTTACTAATTTAAAATTTGTAAATCTTTATATTTTTGTATAAATACTTTATGAATATTTTCTGTTATATTTATTTACATGATTATACAAAAAATATTGAATACTAATTAATTTTTTAAATAACAGGATTTGGAAAGTGGAAGTATGTTTCCATTGGTGCCAGCAGATAAAGTTCTTTACTCGTCGGATCTCGAAGATGAATGGAGGCGTAGTAGTCGTTCTTTTAGCACTCCTCATAATCGAAAAATCAAAAACAGACATAGTAAGTAGATTATAATAATAATAATTTTGTACAGTAGAACCTCGTAAACTCGGCCTAATGTGGACCGAAGGGTGGCCGAGTTTGTGAAAATGCCGGGTTATCAGGAATGGGGTTAAAAAAAATAAGTACGAGTGTTTCCTCAGAAAATACTGTACTGTACTTGTATGTATTGTTTGCTTGAGAATACAACAGAATAAACTGCCCAAATACCCTTAAACAAAGGAAAAGTACAGTACATCCTTTATGAAGGCATAGAGCCTTTACTACATGAAAATGAAAATTAATGAATACACTGAGTACAGTAATTTACCTGATAAGACAGACCTTAGAAAAACACTTTACGAGAGCTTTTATACTTTTATAAAGCTGTCTATAATGAAAATTAATTAACTAAGGATTTTTTTGCCCTGCCAAGGTGTGGACGAGTTATCCGGAGTGCCGGGTTATCGAGGGCCGAGTTTTCGAGGTTCTACTGTATTTAAAAACTTTTAAAATACCGACTTTCTGTTATAAATAACTTAATATCTGCTATTTTTTCAGAAATAATATCTCAAAAAAAGCCATGCAGTTTCTATTTGGAAGGAAGTTGTCGTCGTAGTGATTGCAAGTACTCTCATGATTTGAGTAAAATAACATGCCGATTCTGGGAAGAAGGATCATGTTTTAAAGGAATTACATGTCCATTTCTCCATGGATATTCAAGGTATTGAGAAAAAGTAATCCTATGACAATTACTGAGAAATCAGAAGACCTGTGACTTATCTGCTAATTTTAAGTTGCAATTACAAACTCATCCAATTACCTTTTCCTTTGTTTAATCTTATCAAGAGCATCGTTAAAAACATGAAAAGTCTTTTGAGTACTGCAAACATATTCATTTGACATTATAATTTTCCTGAAATCACTAAAGATACCCAAACCTACAAAAATTTAGGTATATGTCAGTAAATACATGTCTCAACTTTATTCTCTCCTGCTTTAATTAATTGATCTCATTAGATGCTTTAACTGATCTGAACTGATTTTCCATCTCTTACTTGATTATGTATCTTGCAAGCAGATATATTTCTGGTAATTATCACTTTTTATATAATGATTCGCAGAGATGATTATTAATTTTTTTGTATGTTAGTTATAGCAAATAGAAGCTTAGAAAGTGATTCTCACATTAACATGACAAAACATAAAATATTTTAATAGAGAGGTTGAGGTGCAAGTACAAATGTTAAACTTGTACCCAGCAAGCAGAAGTCCATGTTTCATGTTTTAAGTCCAAGTAAAAGATGTTGCAGTGTTCGTCCACAACATCATGTGACTCAGTGAATTCGCGCATTGACTCACGGGAAATATGTTGAAAAAATGGCAGATACATTTAACATCGAGGATTACCAGCAAAGGTAAATAAACAAATTAAACTGTTTAAAAGAATTTATAGGATGTTTAATAACACTAAATAATTAATTTTAATTAGTGTTGTGTCTCCTACAGTATGATTGGACAATAGGACTATCTCATACTTTTGTTGAGGGAAGTAGTGGCTTATGTAAATTTGAAGGCAGCTTGGAAAATTAATTTTAGAAAATTTACAAACGTATTACACTGCTGATAGTAGAAGATGCCATGGAAGAACAAACCTACCTTAAGATAAGCTATTATGAAGACAAATATATGTAAATTCTATAGGCACTTCACATCATTTGCTAAAAAATTGAATAATTAAATAATTTCTGGATTAAAATCGTCTATTTAAGCATTTACGAATAATATTGTAAAGAAACAATCATTATTTTAATAAAATACGTCATAATTTAACCACAAACACAAAAAAAAAATGAAGAAGTTTAAGCCGATCGTCTACTCGCCATTCAAGACGTAGCAAACGCCATTATCAACCGTATAGAATTGCCAGATGGTGGCATTCATCTGTCCACCTCAACCTCTCTAATGTCTTATTTAGTGTTTATTTATTATTATTATAAATTTTCATTAATTAATGTTAGTTGAGAAATAAACCAGAAATGTAGAAAAATGATAAAATTTTTATCATTTAGCAGACATTATACTTTTAATACTCATACAGTGTAGATTTGTCCCAAATATTCTGTTTTCCATTTCACTTATAAAATAATTTCATTTATATTATTAGTTTATTGTAGATAGAACAAAAGAAATTGAGAAGAAAACATGGAATATGATTTAGGAGATATCGTGGTTTTCGGTTCTTTGGTAACAACTGACTCCATTTTATGTCATCAATAAGACATCAATGCAATTTCAGAGTCAAATTTTTTACTGATACAACAATTTTTTGGGACTATTTGTGTTGCATCAGCAGATCCAATCTTAATAATGATACCCTGACAAATTGAACATAAAATATAGAATTATTACTATTCAAAAAACAAAAATATAATTAAAAATATTTTTAAACATTCCAATGTTAAGTAACCATCTAGGATTCTTAGTGTTTTGATAGTTTTGTAATATGTAATTTTTTATAGTTTTCATTTAGTTATTATGGAAAGATTTGATTTAATTATATAGGATTTCCCACATAAAATCGAAGCATTGGTTATGCAAGTTTTCAATGTTTAATGAGTAAAGCTAGATTTTCAGTTTCTCTCTCTCTCTCGTTCCTTAACCCAATATGAAGATTACAATAATTTACTCAATTGGTGAATGGACCAGTTTTATATGGGACACTCTGTATTCATTACTCATACATAATGGAATACATAATTAATGAAATGGATATTCCATTATGTAGGAGTAATGAATGTAAGATATTAAGTAGGATTTTTTTTAGTATTGTTAATTTATTATTATTAGGTAAAGCTAAAAATATTCATTAAAAACACTTAAACTTTTAATATAATTTGAATAATAATAATAATAATTTTTTGGTATCTTTTTAGTGAAGGAAGTTTTAGACATGAAGAATGTCGTCATAGAAAGTGTAATTATACTTTGGATTCAGAAACCGATTTTCCGTCTCTTTCAACGTCAGCTCCGCAGGTAAATTTTATAAATTTAAATTCATTCTATGCTTAAGAATATTATTCCAAAAGTATGTTTGACTTTTTCAAAGGACACAGAGAGAGAAATTTCCAAAGATATTTTAAGTAAATGTATACGCCGGAAGAGAAGACGAGGAAAAGTGCAGCATGGATTACCTATTTCTAGCAGCTGGCCTCAACAGAAGGGAAATAAGCATTAAATATTAGGATCTAAAATTAATTTATCCTTCCCATCAAACATAAAATAATTGAAAATTTTATTTCCAATTTATTCTCAGATTTAATGTAGCTGTGCAATGTTTTGTTTGTTTTTCTATTCCATAATCCTAGTCAGCCAGTTAATATCCTAATAATGTTGTTCTTTATTTTTCTGTTTGTTCCAATAAAATCTTACAAACTAAAAAATAAATAAATTAAAAAAAAAACCAAAAATAAATAAATAAACTAATGTTGAGTGGAATTAACATTCCTCCATTAGTTCAAAAAAGTATTGACCAAAGGTAACTCTTTTGAGGGATCGTGTTTGGGTTGCCCTTGATGAAACTCTATTGTTATAAGATATGCAGAATTTAATATTATATCAAATCAAGAGTAAAATAATAAATTTACTCGTTTCTGCACATCTATGAGTGAAGTTTGCATTGCCCAATGAGCAATGGTATAACACGATCCCGAGTTCTCTCAAATTTGAAGGGGAATGAAATCATCAAATCTATATGATTAATAGTTTATTTATTGTTGAATTTGATTTAACAAAGTCTAGTCACTAATGGCATTAAATCAGTTTTTCTTTTGTTTTCAAAGTCATCAAAAGAAACAAATTTTATTTTTGATGTCAAATTTAAATCAAGCAAATGCATACTTTGATCTAATCAAAATGTTTAAAGTCATTTGCAACATAGTCTGTTGTTACTTAACAATATGTATCCCCTTCATTTATCTTACAATAAAAAGACAGAGAGAGCTTAACAGTTTGCTTATTTATTTCCCATATTACATAATAATTGTATAAAACAATTTCTGGTAATAAAACCAGATAAGTTTATTAAGTGCATATACTGTTTTGGTATAATAATATATCTATTAGATGTTATTTGCTAAAGGGCTGGACATAGAAATAAGCAATCTGTATTTTATTTAAAAGAATTAAATATGTATACTTTCAAAATTCCCTGTTTAGGTTTCCATAGATCAATCTTTCAGCACAATATAGCATGTTCTAGAACACTTTCAGAGAATGTGAAAAAAACAATATCTTATCTTTCCAAAATGATCAAATTTTTTTATTCACTTTTTCATTTTACTTTCAATATGTTAAATATGATCTGTTTTTTTTATGAACTTGAGTATAAGCAAAATTATTTTTAATTATTTTTTTGTATACTTCAAAACAACCTTGAGTATGCTAGCAAGTAAAGTTGTGAAAATTTAAACACTAATTAAATCAGTGATTTGGAAATAAACATGGTGGTTATAAACTTTTACCAATGAAAAGTCTTTTAACTGTACAGATTGCTTATTCAAAATAATTAGAAAACAAGTATTTTTTTGTGTTTTGAAATACTCTGCATGGATGCAGATGGACAACTTCAGTATTAAGGAACTGAATATCTATTATTATTATGCAGTGGAATCCAAGTCCCAAAGTGATTTTCATGATCACTTTGGGACTTGCAACTTTTGATAACAATAACTGGCTATAACATTAAACAGATGATAAATTTTCATTATTGAACTCCAATTTATTACAAATTACAGTATGAATGTGTGCAATTTATATTTATCACAAATACTTGATACTCCATTACTCATTTATATATGCTTCATTTCTTATAACTGTTTTTAACTTATAGATCACAAAATTAAAGTAGAGAAATTGCAACTAGAATGTTCATCTCCAAAGGCAGACTTCATGTAAAGATCTACAGTAAATATATATACTAATAATTCTTGTTACACCCTTACAGTATATAAAAGATAAGAATTCTTAGAAAATGTTCTAAATGGACCTTTACTTATCATTTATTCACAATTGTTGATACCATCCAAAGTTTGATTGTAATAGGTGGATTATTTTTAACTAATTTTATATAGTGTTTGGAACTGATTGATTATGATAAGAATAACTGAATGTCAACATTCTGAATTGTAATATACAAATTTCCTGCATTTGAATATACCAACAAATCAGTACAAGTAAAAACAGATATCTTTCAATGTTATTTAAAAAAATAAGTAATTGAATAGAGTTCTTGTTTACTTTCTAAGTTATATTTAAATATTACTAATAAATGTCATAGAAAGTCTTTTAAACCCATCTTTGCAAGGTTGGGATATTCAGGATTAAGTATGAAGCCAATTCACACCACATCTTAATTTCCATCACTGACAAATAAGTTTTTGCTTTATAACAATTTATAGAATATAACATCCAGTAATTATCTGCATGAATGACCAGCTTTTACAAATTTAAACTATTTCTTTTACAGATCTGTATCAAGATAAATTAATTTATAATTTATTTCACTATTTTAATAAACATTTAGTAAATTTTCTTTTCAAGAAATGAAACTTCAAGCATTTAATTGCACTTTTGAATGTTAAGGTAGCTTTTCTTTTTAGGTACTTTTGTTTCAATTACAATAGAGTAACAAATGAATTGTTCTCACTCTCATCTACTGCAGACTTTTTATTTAAGAAAACAATAATTCAGGATTTAGTCTGCTTTTGTTAAATTAAATCACTGATGGCAAAGAGTGCTGTCTGTACCTAATGGTGGATACAGAGAGAAACAAAAACTAATTTGAACTTCTTAACGTTTAAAAACATTTATGATGGCAAATCTGGTTTATTGACTCATTCACAATACATCTTTGCACATGTTAACAGTGTGTACTTATTTGACTTTTGTTACCCTTTGCATACTTTTGAATATGCCACTATGACTATATTTGTAATACAGTATTTGAATTTTTTTTTATCAATGTCATATTTCAGTATTTATGTGTAATATTAGTCCAGCTCTATTACATATATACAACAAGCAATTATTTATTGGGATGTCATCATAATGTTGGGCTGCATTTTTAATTTATACAATTTAAAATATACACTCTCCAGCTCAAATTAGTAGTGCCTTGCTGTCGTACACCATACTTTTCCTTTAACAATAGTCATCCAGTCATCTAACACCTTTCAGGAAAAAATTTTTGAACTGAAATAACACAATTTCTGGTTTGCATTGGAAGTTCTTGGATATTAATCAGGGTCTCCTGTTCTTAAGGTTTCCATATCTGGCCTTGGATTTTATCTAACACCATTCTTGAGATTAAAGAAAGAAAGACAGATGACAGTGAGAATTTATAGGTCACATATTGTATTTTTACCTGAAGATTTTAAAATTACACAATAAAAATGTATAAAAAGATAAAATTGTTTTTATGCTATTTCATCTTTTTGTAATATTGACTTTAGAACCATCTGATGATATTAATTTTACATCATTTGCATATGTACAGAATGTGCAGAAAAAAATAAGCAGCATTACTATAACAAACATTCTTTTTTTTCATATAATTGTCTATTTCATGAAACATATATGTTCAATAAGGAAAATTAATTTTTATTGTTTGAATTTGATATGAGGAATTTATATTAGGTTATGGTTGTTTTTAGACTTGAATGACAATGTACTGTTGAATGACTTGAATGACAATGTTTTTAGACTTGAATGACAATGTACTTGTGTACACTGGACTGTGTACACAAATTAGCAAGTAAACTAACTCACTCCATCAAAAACTCAGTTTTATTGACTAACATTTCATTACTACTACTATTAATAATCTTTCTAATTTGTTTTTATATTTATGAAATCAAATATACTTAAATATCTTGCCATTATACAGTAGCGACTTGTACTTGAATTATTCTGGAATGAATTAAATTCAATCTTCAAGTTTAGGCAACTGCTTGGTGTTCCTAAACTTGAAGATAGAACTCAGAGTCAAGCAGAGGCAGTTCATGGTGTACTTGAAGAATGGGGTCTCCTTTAAAAGTTTTATGTGATTAAATACGTTTTGTAAATGTGGATGCAATTCATCCAATTATTGTACTCTATCATATTAATGTTTGTACAGTATTATAATGGGGTATTACAGATAAAGTTAAGGCTGTGTGTTGTGATACTATTGCTTCCAACACTGGTTTTATTGGAACATTTCATGGAGAGAGACTTGCAGTTCTATGAGTTATTTGCAACAAAGGCAGTCTAGAGATGACTACAAGGAATTTCTGGAGTCAATGTAATTTTTCTGGGAAATTCACCTTCTTAGACATCTTCCTTTCCATCATGCCAAGATGTATGCCAAAAGTGATATTTAGTTAATTTAAAAATAGCAGATAGTATATTTACTATATATGGTATACATATAAAATACAGATATAAAAATGTTTCCTCTTCTGCCCTTTGACACCAGGAACTAACAGTTTTCCTTCTCAGAGACAATGTTTTATTGTAGGCTATGACTCTGTTACAATATGCAAAACATTTAAAAATAGCCATTTTAAAATTAAGTGTGCAATTTTTACAACATTTTATGGCTTATCAGTGAACATTTTTAACTGTTTTGCATATTGTAACAGAGTCATAGCCTACAATAAAATGTTGTCTAAGCAAAGGAAGAGTTTATTAGTTCCTGGTGTTGGAAAGGGCAGAAGTGAAGACATTTTTGTTTCTTCTGTATTTTATATAGAAAAAAAAATTTAGCTTAAAGATATCCTTATTTGGAAACAGTTCCATCTGAAAGATGCAGAAGAACAAGCACTTAGCAACATCTGCTTGTTTATCATAAAGTTTTTATGTTGAAGCTTGGTTCAGGTGTCCAAAGCTGTGGAACACCCTTAAAGAACAAAGTCACCGAATGAACAAATTGGCAACAGCAGTTTTCCAGGTGGCTTTACACAAGTTTTGTTGCTGTTTGTGATATTTGGCTCCTGAGATAGTGGTTACTTCTTTGATGTACAGTACATGTGCCCAGGAAACAAAACTGAAAACGGTTGTAGCTGTCAGATCTGCTGGTTATTCAGAGAATAGTAGTAACAAGACATATTTTCAAATTCTTCTCATTGATGATGTATTATTGCAAGATTTAAGTCAATTTGTTATCTCTGAAATTATAAATTTGAGATTTTATGTTTCACCAAGTTTTGAATTTAGATCTTAATAAGTGGGAAACAGTCATAAAAGCTTTCCATATCTTCTCGACTTTACTAGTAACAAATGATGGGGCAGAGCATGCTGTGAAATTAATACAAGAATACATTTTCTTGACCAAGAATGAAGGATAAAAGTTTCTGTTACAGGTAGTAAATGACTACTATTCAAAATACCCATATACTTAGATATTACAGTTACAAAGTCAATTGCAAATTTCACTTTGAATAATGTATTGAATAGTATACAGTGGAACCTGGTTAACTTGAACAGGGATAATTCAATCCTTTTCTTTTGCCAACATAGGGATTTACATGTTAAATTGGTTAACATGAAAAAAGAAAAAAAAAACAAGATTAGTCGTGGTTGAGCACAATGCTAACTTGTCCAACATGACTGAAAGAAGGGCAACGCTGAAAGTGTTAGCAACAACTATTAATTCTGATTCCAGTATCTTTTTGGAGAGAATACTCAAGAAGAAAGGTAAATAAGAGTTTGGCCACAAAACTTCCAAGAAGCCCCAGTTACAAGCATTTTAAAATGAAAGGTAAACACATTGCTCACCTTCGAGTAACATTAGGCTAACCAGGTTCCACTGTATTAGTGGATTTCAGTGTTTGGTGAAAACTGTTCAAAAATAATATACCCTTTAAATCTTTGGGACATCACTTACACTCATTTCTCTGAGCTGAAATTTGGTTCCATTTATGATGAAACTAATATGTATCATTCTAGGGGGGGTACTGTACATCTC